TTTAACCGACTTCCAAAAAGGAAGAGGTTCTCAATTCGTCGGAATCCTTCTTTTTATGTACGAGTATGTTCATCGATTACTTGACGACGCCTGAACCGATTTGGATTTTTTTTCTTTTCCTAGCCAACAATATTTTAAGATATGAATATCTATTATTTAAATATGATTAGGTATGAACTCTTATTATTGTTAAAATATTATAGGTACCTACTTAGTACATCAATTTGTGATGTATTATATTATGTATCGAAATAATTAGATTTGCTTTGCATCGGCTAGCACCGACTTTGAAACTATCTGATTAGATGTCTAATAATTCTAAATGAAAACCCCCGTTTAGTTATTTTTTACATTTTAGTGCCTGGAAGTCGATTTCTTTAAAAGTTTTTACTAGTTACTTTCGTCGTTAGTATAAAATAAAAAATACATATACATGATGATGATGATGTTCTCCTAGCCGATTCCGGCCACGGCGGCCAATCTCATTGAGATTAGCCAACTGCGCAGGAGATATTATAGTGCTCAAGTGTACGCGCAGACACAAGTGCACTCTCTATTCCTATCACTCTCATACTCCGGTGGGACGACTGCTCGACACGACCAGTTACTGAGACTTTCTATACAGAAAGACTCAATAACTAAACTTGGCCCGACCCGGGACTCGAACCCAGGACCTCCGGGTGTGCAGCCGTACATGCTAGCCACTACACCACCGAGGCAGTCCTTATATAATTACAAACAGGATTAATTACTGTCTTCATAATAGTGTACAACATTTAGAAGGATATATGGAATAGTTTTATGGGTTTTATTTATATCATTAAATAGATCCAAATATACGGATAATGCGATGGTGATAAAGCCATTGAGTCAATGACAGCGGTTTCCAACGCTGTGTAAATGTTAAGTACACATGTTAATGATAGTCATTAGTCAGACGTATGTATGTGCCTACTCTCTTCTGCGTCATTGCAGTGAACTATTAATTTACCTTGCATAGGGTAAAATCAGTGGTAAATACCAAAATTAAAAAAGGATACTAATGTTAAAGGGTAATAATGATCTCCTGACCAACTTTTCTATCAAGAATAATAAATAATAATATGTTGGGACATTACACAGCACCATCTAGTTCCATGGTAAGCTACGAGGCTTGTGTTATGGATACCAGATAGTTGATAAATTATACATGTACATGTGCGTACATTTTACAAATATAGACACTCATGACTGAAGTACAAAAATTCGTGCTAATTTACACAAATGAATGCCCTCAGCGGGAATCGAATCCGCGACCGCTGGCACAGCAAGTAGTATCACTACAAACTGAGCAAAAGCTCAAATGGATAGCCTCAGTAAAATTAGCCGCCGTAGCGAATCTCACTGAAGCAACTCACTCGCTCTCCGATGCACGGGAGACAAACACCACCAGCTCCAGAAGTTCTTCATAGAAAAACCCAATGAATTTACTTAAACTCCAAGACAGGACTTCCGAAATCTGCAGCCGTACATGCTAACCATTCGATCACCGAGGTAGTTAATCGGGTAGTAATAACTATAAGGTGGTTATACCAAATATTACTATAGAGAGTGTGATTATAAACAAAGCTTATTATGACATATTTAGAAAATACTTAATGGACTTAAAAATCTTATTATCTGATTTGGCTTTAACTTTAATTTCCGATGGCCAATATGCGTCTGTTTTGAAAATTAAATTGAATTCATGAGATTAATTAGTTACATAACAGGATAACAGATATCGCATTAGCAATGAAAGTAAACCTTTAATTATAATTTATACACGATTGTATAATATTCTGTTAAATTTATAATGGATGCTCTCGCAAAAACTGAACAATATTGGAATAGTAGCAATAATTTTGCACAAAACGAATAAACAATAATATTACTAATATTTGATACTTTATTAAAAAACTAGCGGCTCACCCTCGCTTTGCTCGGGTTCGCCTCTAGAAAGGCACAAACAGATCTATTCCACGGTAACCATTAAATTTTCCGGGATGAAAAGTAACCTGTTGTTTGACCGACAATACAAGTTATCAGCATGCTAAATTTTACTAAATTAATAAAGTATACTAATCTGTAAAACCTAAGAATTTGGTTTTAGGTCATCTGAATGCGGGCGGAGCCGCGGGCAATGCTAGTTTTTTATATGTTTTAAATGAATACAGACTAATACAGGTGGTATAATATTATATTACGTTCTGTTTAGGTACTTGATAATTCATATCATTTATTTTTACACAGCTTTTCCCAGCATAAAAAAATCATAAACGATGGCAATATACGACTTAGCAATTAGATTGTTTATCTTATTATATTGGACGGTAAATCCAAGGGCATTATTTATTTCAATTATTCAATATTATATAGGTATGTTTGTAGTCTTTAATAAAAATAAAAATATAATAAAAGTGTAACTGATCTGTCTGCAGTCTGTTCATTGAAGATATTTTAAGAAAAACTTTAATTGAGGATCTTTATTATCAGCTATAGAACCAAAAACAATGATTTTTACATATTTTTTTTTTGGCGGTCTGTAACATTATAAAACTTAGCTAAGAACATGCTCAGGAATGAGACTTATACAAAGCAAAAACAGATTCAAAATTTTAAAATTCAAAATAGTATTATGCACTGGGAGACATTATGTATCTAAATGTTTTATACTTGCTGCGAGATGACTCACTACAGTTTTAAAAGTACATACTAAGATACCACGAAATGTTTTAAAAACCTAATTTTATGTTAATTTTTTATTCGAAATTAAATTAGAAAAATACAACTTATGATTATTTGTGATATTTTTGTTATGTAAATCCTTTGAATATTATTCCTACATCCTTTAAATACCCACATATCTCACTTTTTAACTCATTCTCTGACATCTATCCTTTATTGTTAAGTATTAATTATACGGATTTGAAATATAATTAACCAATGAAGTTTAACTTCCAACACGTTTCCGTAGAAACTTGTTTTTTTTTATAAAAAAATAACTAAATACAACTCAAATAATCAGCTAAACATTACTTACTCAAAATAAATATTTTTTTTAAACATAAAAGCAAGTAAGTATATCTTTTTTTTTTGTAAAAGAAAGAAAAGTAAAGAGCGCTGTATTTTTACCGACTTGCTAGACAAAAAACGTGACCTAAAACATAAATTCAAAATCAAAATATTTTATTCAGCATTAAATTATAACAATTTTGTACTGAACGTCATGAGTCTACTACAATTACAATACAATACAATTATGTACCTACCTAATATAAACAGCCTATAGCGCTCTGGGATAATGTAGGAATTTATTGGTAAAGTAATTATTAAACTCGTTTCAGTAGTTTCAGAGTTTATCGATTACAAACGACAAATATCTCTTTATAATATTAATATAGATAAATAGGATTTTAAGGCGTTTTACAAATTAACCTTGGTTTACATTTAGTGAAGTTATCAAAATGTCATTGATCCACAATATCACTTAATGAGCCCAGGGAAATTATAATGTGATTAGCGACTCACCTTCGCTTCGCCCGAGTTCGTCCCTAACTTGCTTCCCAATACGAACTTTCATCCCCATTTTCACCCCCTTAAGGAATGATTTTCGGGATAAAAAGTATCCTATGGCCTTCCCAGGGTCTCAAACTATCTTCTCACCAAATTTCATCTAAATCGGTTCAGTAGATCCAAGATTACCCCCTACAACGTCACAAACTCACAAACTTTACCTCTTCATAATATTAGTATAGATTAAGATAGTCCCGGGATATTGTAAGAAATGGAGACAATTGACGGAAGTACCTACGTACAATTATAATACCACTAGTGTAATTACAATATCATGGGTTTTACAATAACCCAGCAACCTATAGGTGGATATACTAGATTAGAATGACTAGAATCTAAAACTTTAATTTTAATATTGAAAGCAATGGGATGCATTCACATTCAATTTTTCTTTCTTATGATTATTTAAAATTTATTTAACACTACTTTAGTCTGTGTTAATAATTAATATACATAGTTATCGAATTCCATCCCCATGGAAATATCCATACTTGCAAATGATTTCGTTTATATTTTTATAATAATTTTGTCAAAAAACTTACAGGTACCTACTTAAAAAAAAATTGCAATGATAAAGGCGAATAAACAATAAAAATCACGGACAAATGTTCATTTTTCGTTTTCGGCACATTATCATCGTTTATTATCGGTAATTTATGGTATAATTTCGATAAAAAACTATTTCAATATTATTCTAGATACCTACCAAATATTATCATCATAGACAGTATAAATACTGTCCAGTAGTACGAAATTATTATCATACCTTCAAGGGGCTTGGTAAGTGTAGAAATTGTTCAGTAGATAAAGCATAGTGAACTAGCCTGTTTTAAGTTTTTTCAAGACATCCTATATATTCATCTATTTATCACTAGCGGCTCACCCTCGATTCGATCGGGTTCGCCTCTAGTCAAACAAAAACAAATCTATCCCACGTGAACCGTACATTTTTCCGGGATATAAAATAGCTTATTGATTATTCTGATGTATGAACTATATTATTGTAGTTTCATTAAAATCTAATCAGTAGTTTTTTGTACTAAGCTGTATAAGTTACTATAGTTTTTAACTATCCCACGGGAACTGTTAAATTTGAATGAAAAAAATCTGGATTTGTTCTATTTTTCTTCTTGCGTCCCCTTGACAAGATTTTTAGCATTTTTTCCTATATACAGACATTCGACCTCTACAGTAATATTAGTTGATATCAGTCATATGTATTGACTATAGATAATATGCAAAAATGATAAAAAACCCTAAACAACTACCTCTTACGGTAAAGAAACCTACGACATCCAGTGCTATATTTATTATACGTGTGATTATTATTTAGTTTATTTTTTATAGGATTACTGGACTAACGTTTTACTGTCTTATTCTCTCACAGAAAAGAAAAATCAAACAAAATGAAATTCGTTATTGTCTTCGCTGCCATTGCGGCAGTCGCCTTGGCTCGCCCGACTTCCAACATTTGGAATCTCGAGCAGATAAGTAATGCTCTGCAAAACCCTAACGTGGACCCTACCTACGTACCTGTACTCGAAGATGCCCTGAACCTTATTATGGAGGCTCTCTTCGCTGGACAACAAGTTGTAAATATCTTAATTATTAGTATTATTTAAAAAAAAGTAACTGAAACATATTTAAATATTTCAGATTAAATTAGAAGGATATAGTAGAATAAGCTTGGTATTAAAAATAGTATTGTGGTTTTCCAGGAAGGTGTTCTTATGCCCATGTCCCTCGATGCCGTCTGGAAACCAATTCCCGGAGCTATCGCATCCGACGAGCCTGCTTCAGCCCAAGCTGGTACCCCAATGGTTCAGATCATCGTTAACGTAAACGGCAAACAACCAGTAAGTGGATTAGATAATGACAAAATGCTCTATGGTTACCCCTTCATTCACTATTAACATTTTAAGTTACTTAAAAAAATAGGTAGTGTATGTAATGCTTTGCATATTTTCTTACAGGAGCAAACTATCCACGAAATCGTCCCCCCGATCCATGTGATCGATGGAGAGAATGTCGTAGTGGAGCCAGATAATGCAATCGTTCCTCTGCCTGAAGTCAGCCCCATTGACGTAATTGCTATCAACCCCATCGTGCCTACCCCTGTCCAAATTGCCGAAGAGAACGAGGTTGAGCCAGAGGTCGCTATTATGCCACAACCGGAAATCCAACCCATTGACATAATCGCTGTAAACCCAGTCGATTCGTGGGGCCCTGATGGTTTCCGACCAGCCATTGATGCTGACGTTGGACCCATGTAAATTAATAATACGTGAATCATAAATCGATGAAATAAATGATATTAAGGAAATGACAAATTTTATTTCACATACCTAAATGATAACTATAATATCAGAGATCTTGTCATTCAGATTTTGCTAACTTTTCTTAATCTATGCCCTTATATTTTTTTTTGTAGGTACTATTTACAAGTACAAGTAACAAGTGAACCCGATAAATTTCCTCCATTTTCAATTTTTTTCCCCAAGAACCTTATTCAGACAAAAAATTAATAAATAATATTGAGACATCTTTAACACAAAGAACTTAGTTTTCAAATAATTATTCATATCAATTCTCATTTTGTATCAAAGAACTTACTTTGTATACAGATACGAAATTGAATAAGTTGTTATTATCGTCATGAAACTAGGTAATTGGGAGTAATTACTGAAAAATTGTAATACGCAATAATATTTCATTTTTCATTTTAGATCCCTATAAGTTTTGGACGCGACTATTCGCCCGATCTACGGGTCTACGGGAAGCTTTGCCGTAGCAGGCTCGTAGGTCAAACTGATTGAAATAACAAAGCACTTATGATATTGGGAGTTCTGGGTTTGAAATAAAAAAAAAGACCTAACGAGAAGGCTAAAGGTGGGAGCGAAAGGTAGCGTAGTACGTCCGATGCCGAATAATACCTCAAAATCAGTTCGGCTTAGGCCAAACTAGATAAGTCTGTATTTTGTCCGGGCTAAAATAGTATATCCTGACAAACTTTAAATGAACCGGTTTGGCCTAGAACACACCAGTTTGGCCTGAAATCTAGTTGGGCCGGTCACATATTTAGCAACCGCCACATAATTTGTTTATGACAACTTATTTATAGGCAAATGTAAAAATTCAAAATAAACTTATTCAATCCACGGATCAGCTACGGGAAAGTCCCGTAGATTCGTAGATCGGGTGAATAGTCACTTCGATAAGTTTTAATATTTTTATTATTTGTGACACTAATGACTGTACAAAATGTCTCTAAAAATTTATATATCTAACCTTTAATTTACGAAACCCAAAACATATTATTGTGGATAAGCACATAAATATTTAATTGATAATCTCTTGTTGTGACTCCACAATCCAGTTTAAGCTCCATTGAGCCGCAATTACCGGAAACATTGAGTAATTAATGTGATAATAATTATTGTTTATACTTCAAACATCTATACATATAATAAAATTGTAACTAAGCCGAATCTGTACATTGAATATTTTTTGGGAAATCTTATTGAAATAAACATTATTATCGATACAGAGGCCGAATATATAGTTTTTAGAATATTTATCTGTCTGTTTGTTTGTCTATCTGTCTGTTACCGCATCACGGAAAAACCACTGGACGGATTATGATGAAATTTGGTATGATGATAGCTGGTTATCCGCAATATAGGATAGTTTTTACCGCGGGAAAATGTTTCATTTGTGAGAAAAAATACAAAAACTGCAACGTAAGAGTATACTAATATGTAAAAGCTAAGAATTTGGTTTTTGGTCTCTGAACGCGAGCGGAGCCGCGGGCAATGCTAGTTGATAAATAAAAACAGATACACGTCTGACATTACCTAACAAATATCTCTTCAAAAAGTGGCGTCGACGTATGACGTTAAGTTAAAGCAAAGAATAAAATTCAAAAATCTAAACTTCTAATTGTCTAAACACAAATTCGAACTTACGCACACCACACAAAGTACTTTTTAAAACGAAACAACGTGCTTTTTAATATTGTCATCCGAAAAGTAAGAGGTATGAAAAAAGCGCATATTTTCGAATTGTACGCTTCTTTTTGAGATCATTCTTGAGATCGTAATTGTATATCTTTAGTTTTTGTATATGAATTATTTCAAAATTTAAATAAAATCCAATAACATCAATCGTGAACCAAATTTCATCTGTCGTGTTTAGTTTTTAGATTTCTTTAAAATATTGTTTATTTTAGTTTATTTTAGTAGTTTAAAATATTATATATAGACATTGCATATTGCATTGTTTACATTTTAGATCAAATAGGTATTACGAAGAGAACAAATAATACTTGCGTCATTCAGCCTTTAATATATCTTTTAAATTTTATTATAACTATATTATTATATACTTAAAAACTAAATAAGTAGGTATGTATGTAGATTCTTTAAATTGTGCTAACCTGAAACAAATAAAAAATACATAAGTAATAAAAGACATTCATTATAAAGGTTTACATTTTAAGATATAAAATATTACCAATAAATTTCTAAATATGTAATAATCTAAATCGTAAAACATCGTTTTAATAAAATCTTATAAACATCAACACAGAGAATCGCGTAGGAACCAAAGAAAAATTCAATATTGTGTCCCCTCGAACAATGAAGTTCAGAAAAAAATGAACTATGTATATTAAAAATGGAGGATGTGTATATTATTATATTGCTTTTATACCTATTACTTGTATTCAATCTTTTTTAATATCTTACTGCTGGGCACGGGCCTCTCTTCAATACAAGGGGGATCAGGCCACAATCCACCACGCTGGCCAAGTGCGGGTTGACGGACAGTGCATGTCTTTCGAAAACTTACTAGATTCTCTCAGACACGCAGTTTCCTCACATTGTTTGCCTTCACCCTAAGACAAGTGGTAGTCATGTTGGAAATGAGTCGCACTAGAAAATATCAAAGATGCAAGACCCGGGATTTGAACCCGCTTCACTTAGAATCCCAAGCCAGCGCGTTACCACTGATTATTATTATACACCTTTACATTACTTACTTTAAACAAAAAAGCTAAGCACTGAAACTGTTCACGAAATCTTACACTTAAGAATAAATTAGTTGATTTAACAAGGGTCATAACTTTGTAGTAATTTAAAAAATGCATACCTTATTATAATACATTATTGAAAAGCTTTTTTAATTTAAAATTGACAGCCCTATTCCATGTAGGCGGAGTTACATGAAATTAAGTGTTAAAACTGTTCATTGGACAATAACCAACGTGTGTCGCCCGGCCATGAGTCAGTTCGTTGCAGCGACCTATGCGCTTTAGCCTTAACAGTTTGGAGACGATCCAAACTACTTTCTACTGTATACATAACAAACGCTTAAAATATCACCCATGCATATTTTATTTTATGTATTTTAGCTGCTTATTAGAAAATTTTAATCGTATAATAGCTTTTTTAATAATTTTTACTTTTCAAATAATAATCTTTTTGGATTTTTTCGAGGATTTATTTTGATTTTTGATTCCCGACGTTTAATGTAATACTTTTTGTTTGATAAAGAAGAAGAAGAAAATTTTAAAACACTATTATTTGCAAGCTAATTTCGTTGTATTTTGATTACTGTATTTCATTTAAGTTTTCATTAATTAAAGTATAGTATATTACTTCAACAAACACCAAATTATATTTACTAGACTTGTTAAAAATGTAACGATGAAAATTTTAGTTTGATAAAATCAGCTTTTATATTGATATTTTTATCCTGTTATTATAGTTTCAGATTTCGCCATCCAAACCCACTTAAAAATATCGCTAGTACCTAATAGCGAATTTTTTAAGGAATTAATAACAGTCGGTCGATAGGTATACATAACTCATTGTTTTTTAATACCGAATCTATCAAATCATAATTCATAGTATAGTGTTGCATATATCTTCATATTTCATCGCCTTAGTGGTTATTTATTCAAACTACTGATACTTGTTGTGCTTTAGAAAAGTTTCTTTCTTCTATTTTGAAAATAAAGCTTTATTTTAAGACTTAAATATATTGTATATATGTATATATAGACATAATATATATTTTTTTGGCTTTATTAAAGTAAAACGTGTATTTTATATCATTAGAATTTACATTTAAAAGTCAATTATCTGTACTAAAAACTCCTTCGGTAAATTGGTCGTTTAGACAAATATGCGCTGAGACGACGATTTCAAATCTGTTTTTTAAAACATCTAGTAATTCTGTAGATCAAGTGAATCTAATTCTAGTATGTAATAAACATTACATAATCATAATAAAAATCATGTTTTAAGTTTTAGGCCCTGTAACGTTGACTAGAAAAACGCACAGCAAGAAAAATTTATCGAGTACAAAACCTGTCTGTCAAAAAATTGTATCCTATTGAGTAAGTGCAAGCTATTTCTATACAAATTAAAGTGTGTTTGTAATGTCAAAATAACGGCTTTTTACTAAATGCATATGAAATTATATATGGTACTTATAAGGAAAACGCAGTTTTTTTGTCTGTGTGTCTGTCTGGGTTTTTTGCGGCTGATCTCCAAAACATCTGAATTTCACTGGCAGATAGCTGATGTTATAACCAAAAAGTTAGGCTTCTTTTTATTTAAAAAACTCGTTAGTTTATTATAATCAACGATTAAAAAAAACAAAACGTTTATATGTATACAATGTACATATTATTAACAGACATATAATCACTACTATACTTACATAACGTCGATATTAAAATTTCATGGAAAATCCTATAGTGCCTCATCCGCAGAAACTGCCAATAATTTCTTATAAGATCCAGCGAGTGATCGAGCCGCGAGTAAAATTATATCTCTTCTAGATACGCCCGTAGAAGCTTCTTGCCACTGCGTGTGAGGCACCTAGAGAAAAAAATAATTATATGGTTATTATATTATTATATGGTATACCATAAGAAATTAAAAATAATAAATAAATATCATGTGTTTTATAAATATAATAATAAAACTATCTTTTCGAATTTTTTCGCGGATGCATTTTTTTGGTTGTCGACGTCGCGTTTTGAATGCTTTACAGCAACCACGGTCACGGGAGAGACTTAGGTTTTGACGTCTCAAACCGAAAAGATAGTTTTATTATATATGTCAAATATTCCCGTAAATCTAAGAAAGTATTATCATGTGTTATTTATAACAACTGTACAATTGTAGTACTTTCAGGAAATGAGAAAAAAAAATTATTCAAAAAAAAAGAAAATTCAAATAGATTTTAAATATTTCGAAGTTTTCGGTGCATATTTACTCGACATGACAATTGACATGACGACATGTGAGAGAATAGTTGTTGAAATTCCTTAGCACGAAGCCCACTTGGCTTGGCGGTTTTGAATATTATTTATTGTTTTACTTTAAAATTAGCATAGTATTACCGTTTCTACTATAGAGCGAAAGCAAGCAAAAGAACTTTTTTATATTTTAAAATGTTTAAACTTAAGCAATCTTCTATTTTAACTATCATCAAATTTAAATCATAATGACAGATTATTCTAACCTTAGGTTCACATTACATTATATATGTATACATTACATAGTAGTACATTTCAAATCAATTAACAAAATTACCTGCAAATTAGCCACAATACACAAAAATACACACACAAATTGAATATTCCATTTCAAAAACAGTTAACAAAATCACCTGCAAAAACATTACCAACAATACACAAAAAGAAACTCCTCCATACCAAAACCAAACCCGAAACCACAAACCTGCAGATTAGCCGCCATAATGGAACCAACTGTGACACTGTAACCAGTCTGCGCGTGCTCGTACCCGTCGGGCGTGGCCGCGCGCGCCGCCGCCACCGCCGCCGCCGGCACCGGCGTCGCCTGCGACTGCGCCTGCAGCTCGATGCCTAACGAGGGTTGGCACAACACCAGGAGGGACAGGTCGTACCATCTGTTGATGAATGTATAATATAATAATAGCTAACGAGTTACCCTTACTTTTTTAATAATACTTATGACAGAGCCAACTTTTTTAAAATTTTAATACCATGGGGTCTCATCCGAACCAAAAAAAAATAGTTCTGTAAAATATCAATAGATGACGTTACATGTATCGATTTGTTATTAAAGTTGTGTTAAATTAACAAAAGATAAAAAATTAGATCTCATAAAGATATATTATTGTTTAAAAAAATATTCCAAGTGAAGGGAAAAGAAATAATGCGCTCGTAAACCTTTGCGTAATTTTACTGATTATTGAAATATCACCAATCAGATGATGGGTTTGTACTGTATATTCATAGATGGCGCTTTTGCTTTTTATGAATTGTTTGTCACGATTAAAAATTGTTAAAATCACAGATTTTTTTTATTCGAATGCAGAATACATTTTACAATATTAATATTCGTTTTTTCGTCTTTAATGTCGTTTTTATTATAAAATAAAACAGTTAAACTATTTGCGAATCAACGACATCTATTATTTATTTATTTATGTACCATAAAATATATGTATGTTATACAAAATAAAGTAAATGTCGACAAAGGATAACTTATCTCTTAAAGAGATTTCTTTCAGAAACTTTTCAGAAGAGAGAAAATAAGTTAATTCAGTGTGGTGTTATCTATTCAAGCAAACAAAAATAGCCCAAAGAATAGCCCGAATTAGCGATGTTCAATTTCTTTGTATAGGATGAGGCATCTGTACTAGTATTATTATGTGATCTGTGATATTACTTACAGACAGCGCCATCTTTTATAAAACTTGAATAATAAGGCAGTGGTAGCCCAGTGGTAACGCCTAAGCCAAGTAAATCTGGTTTCCAACGTGAATACCACCCGAGGTGAGGAAACCTAAATGTCTGAGAGAAGTTGCCTAGCAAGTTTTCAAAAGACATGAGAAATCCGCCAACCTGTACTTGACCAGCGTAATGGACTTGGCCTGATCCCCCTCACATTGATGGGAGCCCCATGCCCAACAGTAGAACGTTTTTTTTTTCTTTATTGGCTTATAGTTGCCAGTAGAACGTTAAAAAGGGCAGTATGCAACAGGCTACGTTACTCCAGGTTATGGTTAAGCTGAATACTAAATGTCCTACAGTTCAAAGCCAAGGGAGGGCTTGGACAGCACCAGGAGGAACAGATCATACCATCTGTTGATGTTTGAAAATATAGCTAGCGACTTATCCTTATTGTCAAAGCTTTCTCTGTCTGCATATGATCACAAATGGTCCAAATATTATAAAAGCACCTCAAACCTGACCTTTTAATGATTTCTTAGACACTATTTATTTAAGTTACATGACTCATATACCTATACTGGAAAACATCTCTTTAGAGATAAGTCCACATCATTATCTGTGTATTACTTGTATTACAATGCAATAAATAATATATAAATAATATATAAATATTGAATATACCTACCTATCAGAAACAGCTTCCTGTATGAAGCCCTCCACAGCGACTACAGGCACGTTGTTGGTAAGGTCCGCGTGTACAGACCGAATGTATGCTATTCGCTGTTTGGCCGCCGCATACGCTGCTGCGTAGCCGACTGGTTGGTCTGCTGTCACGTTGCTCTGCGCTGCGTGACCACTGGAAAAGTTTTAGAGTTGATTAATGAAACGAGACCATCAGGTCAAAAACCCAAGTAACCAACATAACGCGGAAACGTAAATGGAGATAAACAGGTCATCTATTTAGATCCAGTATTCTATATATAATATTAAAGAAATTCTTTGTTTGTGGACCAAAATGACCCGAATTCATTTTTTATCTGAGCTACGGCTATTTTTACTTTTAATAATTTAATATCAAATTAAAAAACTCACATAACAGTTGCTTTCCCGAAAACAGTTTGAAAAGCCTCTCTAACTGGAGATATCTTTACTTCCTTATCAGATGCAACAACTACACATAAATCACCTCCAGTTCCTAGAACCCAATTCATTTTAATTAATCAAATCAGTCATCAATTCAATTTGCTTTTTTTAGTTTTACACAATACACATACTTAGATACTCCTTCATTTGAGGGTCCAGAGTTGTAATCATAGAATCAACTGAACTTTTGGCCTTCTCGGCCACCTTCTGCAATATACCTCCAGTGGATACTGCACCCTTTACCCAAGTAAAAATACCACTGCCTGGCATAACATTACCTATAACCCAAAATTATAAAATTATACATAAATTATTACCTTTTAAATATGTTTAGCTTACAATTTTGTAATATAATTAACAAGTACAAACTATAAATATTTACTGTTGTCCTATAAGTAGATTACAAAGAAAGGACCTAAGTATGAATAATTTAAAAAAGTTAAAACCATTAAAATTAATTACCCTAAATAATTCAGCCACATAAATTATAATTTCCACATATGCCTAATCAATAGAAATAATAACAATAATGAAATAAAAGCTGTATTCACCTATTTGATCTAATTCCGATGTAGATTCAGGTAAGGATTCAGGTGAAAGTGTAGTCAATGAATCTTCAGGGGATCTTATTGGTAGTGTTGGCTCTCCTTTAGATAGTGGAATGGCAGGGCTAAAACATATGCAATAATAAGATTTTTCTCTTAGTAAAAGTAAGATTTATTGCTACAAATTTTTATAGGTCTAAATAAAAAGTTACCTAAATTTTTCTGGACTTTCAGGTGACTGCTGAAGAGATTTCGATTCATCATTTTGACTTTTTTCTGGTGCTGTTAGTACTACTGGTACCACTTGTGGCACCTACAATAATTATATTATTTTATATTTTGTAGATATTTTAATATTTCTTTTAATGTGTAAAGTTAAAAACAATATAAATTATTATATTCTTTATATACCGATTCTGGAGCTTGTATAACTGGTGTAACTGAAGCCGGGACTGTAGTGACAAAGTTAGGAAGTTCTGTGGGTGGTGCAACATTCGACAAAAGATTACCACTTGCAGTGATAGTAGGTGCCGACGGAATCTTACTCTTTTTTTCAACGTTCATGGTTTCTTCTGCCAATATTAATAACAATATTTAATTTTAGTATACAACTGATATCAGTTTTAACTCGACGTATGTGTCATTTATTTTGTTATCCGACATATTAAAAAATGTCAACTATCAATATGAAAAAACCTTAATTATTAACATTACATATAAACTTTATAGTAATAAAACTTAAATTCAAGTAAATATACCTTTCGTGAAAAATCTACACAAATCAAAATATTGTTTTGATGTTCTTTGACAATAGTGTCAAATAATGACAGTTGTGACGTGTCTGTTTTCGACAGATTTATAATAGTTGTTCATCTCTCATTCTTAACGTAAATCTAGTTATTTACGTACAATTATACGGTAAGATATATATACAAACATTTACCATGACTACTATACTTTTTGTCTCCATGACAAACATAATATTTTTAATACATGTATATAGTGTACAAATGAATATAAAATAATAGCTATTGTTACATATTTATATTTTGCTTACGAAAACAAACAAATAATAAATCTGTGCGGATGATGAATCTGTCATTTGCGTTGAAATTAAATGTCATTGAAGCTACTATTCGTTTCAGTGAACTTTATCTCGCTGTTTTCAGAATTGCTAACGACGTTAACACGTTTAATAAATCATTGTGGAATTAAATTTAAATCATAAAAAACAATGTCGGAGGTATCCGATGCACCGTTTCTCCCAGTTGAGATTAACAATGAGAATAACGAGGAAGACGATCTTTATGCTTCTGCGGTCCAGGTATCTTATAGGAATCTGTTTTAATTACACTTGCATTCGCCTAACACTCATCAGGGGCGTCACCGTCCCCTAAGTGACGCCCCTTTATATATTGTTGTTTATAAGACTTCATTTCGCGATTGATGAAAACCTATTATAAATTGACTCAGATAAATTCTTAAATCTGTATTTATTAATGATATAATTTGATTACCAGCGTCCTCTATGTTTTAGATTTACTTCGCAAGCTATTTAAAACAAATGTTTAAAGTCATTCTGTTTATGATGTGCATTTTAATCTAAATGCACTTGTTTTGACATTTTTATAAATATTTCAATGCACTTGCTACCTTGCACTAGCCAAACAACTTTGTGAATAACTTGTTTTCTTTTCTACTATGCATGTTAATTTAGATATACATACATGAATTTAAAATTTAAATTGTTTACTTAAATTTCAATTCTTAAAAACAGGTTAGATAAGTGTTTTGTTTGAATGAAAATTGTTATCTTGTGTAATAAAATATTATTGAATTGCGCCGGGGCAGCCGCGAGGTGAGCTGTCTGTCTACCTACCTACCTACCTACATACATACATACCTACCCACCTACCTGTATTCAGCCCTTTTTAGTGTAGCACTGCTGGGAGTGGGCCTCCCTTCAATACGAGGGGAGTCAGGTTATAGTCCACCACGCTGGCTAAGTGCGGGTTGGCGGACTACACATATCTTTCGAAAACTTGCTAGGTTCTCTCAGACATGCAGGTTTCAGACATTCAGGAAAAGTTAATATTATTTTAGGAGGTAAACTTAGATCCTGAAGTGAATGGTGCTCAAGAAGGCTTAGAAAAGACCTCAATAGGAGATATGTCATCACCTGCAACTATTGGTAGTCCAGTTATGGAAGAGGTATTTTTATTAAGATTAAATCAAGCTTTTATGTACATTAGAATAAATATTTGCACTTTTGTTCTAATTCTTGATTTGAAATATTAATTCTTGTTTATCTTGATTATCTATTTTTGTTGTTTTTATATATTTTTTAATTAATGATATTGGAAATTTCTAATAAATCTGCTCATACAATGTATGAGCTAAATCTGAGATGTGAATCTGTACATACCTTAAGTATAATTGTTTTAATTTAAATTTGAATTTATTAATTTACTTCTGCAATAATAAAATATAAAAATTACTGGTAAATGTTATCGACCGTTTAAAAATATTGTACAAAACTTAATGATTATAACAATCAATCAGGTTTAAAATACTTAATTAGGTTATGATTCATGTCTGTTGATTCTATAATGAAAAAATATCCACTTAATATTTATATCAAATTATCATTTATTTCTAATATTATGTTGTACATTAAAATAACACTTTTTTATTATAATTCAAAATCTTTTTTAGATAGCAACTGAGCGTCCAAATAATATTATAATAACAGTCACAGAGCCACAAAAAATTGGAGAAGGAATGAGTTCATATGTTGCATATCGTGTTTTGACAAAAACAAACATGCCAATATTTAGCAGACATGAATTTGCTGTGCTTCGTCGATTTTCCGACTTTCTAGGCCTTCATGAAAAACTTACTGAAAAATTTCTACGTTCAGGTAGAATTATACCACCAGCTCCTGAAAAGAGTATTGTAGGTAAGTTAACAAAATTATCATTAAAAATTTTATTGACTACATAATAGGGAATAAGTGTGTGATTAAAATAAAGGTGATTTTTTTTTTATAATCTTTATTGCTTCTGAATTAACCCTATATCAATACTTTTTAATTTAATTTCTTTTTATTAAGAAAATAATGATAGAAAAGTGCAAAAATAGGTGGGAAATTCAAAGTAGTTAAAAAGCAACACCATTGGTCAGACCAAATGTGACATCAAAGTCTATTATATACTATAAGCTGTTGCTATGTCCTTTGGTGTTTGTGATTGGTGCTATGTAGACTAGACTTGTTCATTTGTTGATGGTAATGTTTTCACAGCATGTGACGTCACACGAAGCGCGCCAAAATGGTGCGCGTTTAAAGTATCTGTATGATATCTTTTAATATTTTTTTACACTAAATTTTAGTTTTTTAGAGTTGGATATTTTTTCTAATTATATAAAGATGTAAGCTGTTGTATGAAAAATACACATATTCTCTAGAATAATTAGTATGTGAGTAAAAAACTAAAAGTGATAAAGATATGTTCTCCTTATTAGCATATTTTTATAGGAGGAGTGACTCATAATTATTTTGTTATGACTGCTATCTCAACATTAATTAAAACTATTATCATAGATTAACATTCCACATATGACTCCCACAGCGAGTGAATCTAGTATTTTGTTTGATCATACCCTTATTTAATCATATTTAGTTAGGGCATAGCCAGCGCTGGATTTACACTCGGGGCCTAGTGCCCAGGGCGGCAAAATTCGAAGGATAAATAAAAAAAAACTTAGCATTATCGAAAATGTTTTTTTATTTTCCTAGAAAAAAAATGCATTATAAAAAAAATAACAATTTTTTGGCATTTATCAAAAATTAAGAAAATTGATCTTTATCGAAACTATCAATTTTATGCAAAATTTCGATAATGGGGCGGCATTTCTTACATTGCCCAGAGGCAGCGCTAAGGTTGAATCCGTCACAGGGCTTAGCTTAATTTTAAACAAATCAAATTTTATCAATAGAAGGTTTTTTAAAATAGACCTATAAAGATTTATGAATTGTTAATGGTTTATTGGTTAACAGTTCTGAGTCAAGTCAAATTAGTTACTCCAGTTTTCTTTTAGGAAAACTCTTATTTAGCCTTATTTCTTAACAATCGTGTTGAGTTGTCCTTGAGTGTCGTTATTTATTTAATACTAGCGACTCACCCTAGCTCCGCTCGTGTTTATCCCTAGGTACGATTTAACGGTTAGTACAGATTTCTTAAAGATGAGATATTTCCCCGCAGTAAGAAGTATCCTAGATGTTGACCCGGATAACTAGTCATCATACCAAATTTCATTAAAATCTGTCCAGTGGTTTTCGTGATGCATTCCCAGACAGACAGACAAAAATTTTAAAAACTATAGATTCTAAATAAAACTATCTTTTCGGATTTTGTCGCGGATTTATTTGGATTTTTGTTTCCCGACGTTTCGAATGCAGACTATACTACATAAACTACAGATACTACATATACTACAGAAACTATAGATTCGGCCTCTGTATCGATAATGATGACTAAGATTTTCCAAAAAATATTAAATATACAGATTCCACTCAGAATTTTATTATATGTATAGATAAGAATTTAAAGAAATAAATAGTGTTTGTACTGCAAGTGTATACTTGTGCAATATGCAATTTCTCGCGCATTTGGTTAGTCTAGAGAGATTGGCTGCTCTCTAATCTAACTTATTAGGAATTAATTAATTATTAAATAAGCCCAATATCTTATTACTTGTAGAAAATTATTTAATTATTGTTATAGGTACAACAAAATTAAAAATGACTTCCACACCGTCCACTGAGAGTGCCAACGGTACGAGCACGACGGCCGGCGTACAGTCTCAGTTTGTGGAAAGACGACGAGCAGCCCTTGAGAGATTCCTCAACCGAGTCGCCCAACACCCTGTCTTATGTATTGATCCTGATTTCAGAGAGTTTTTGGAATCGGGTATGTGGATTATATCTATAGATATAAATTATTTTTACTGTCTGCCTTATAATTGTCTAATCAAATCTAAACTTATATTATAAATAGGTAAAGTTTGTATACAGGATGTCCGGTAAGGAGTGGACTAATGAAATGTCCGTAATAGAGGGGGTTATTACACATACAAAACAATAAATTTTATTGTCCTATCCTCAATAGTTTTAGAGAAAGGATTTTTTTTTAATTTTTGCTACTGAGCCTGAAAAAATATATATCTCTGAAAGTACTGATCTGATTAATAGAATTTCTTTTAAAAATGTGTTTACTGTATGAATATAACTTTAAAATGGCCGTTGAGATATTTTATCGGTTATTTTTAAGTACATAAGGACGCACCCGAGCGAAGCGAATTGTCGGCGACGGAAAACCTATCTTCGAGTAACGTGTGTATTAATATAGGGACAATGTCATTTTAGCGTATTATGAATAATTGTTGTAAATATGAAATCTCATTCTTATTAGATTTATTACGTTAAAATAAGTTCTAATTAGTGTAATAAGGTTAGTTTAGAGTATTTTTTGCTTATTTGAATCATATAAGACTATTTAACATTAATTTGAAAGGAATAGGTACGTAAGTAAAATGTTAGCATATAATTACGTAACTTGAAAATGAGATTTTTTGTTTTAAGACTTTTTTAATTAATTATTATATATTGAATATTATGTTTTAATATTGTATAATAGTATGTAAGGCATGTAAATAAATAAATATGTGTAAGGTGTTTTACTGAAAACATAAAATAAAAGGACTCTCAAGGTTTCGGTTTAGGGAAATTTTATTCGAAAAATGAGCTCAAAGTACGCGGCTCTCTGTAAGGTATTAACGGGCCAAATAAAAGGCGAGCCATTTCTCGATTCGAGTCAGTCGCAAGACAGCCACCGAAGAGGCAACAACTAAAAGGAAAAGGAAGAACCGAAACCAAGAGAGAAAAAAGGAAAAATTGTGTTTTATTTCATCGCCTCTAAGTATAGTCTCCTGTCAACGAAGAAACCCTAGTGGATCGGGACCCAAGCTACGCATTCAGGGGTGCGTGGTGGCGTACATTACCAGCGAACGGACATACTGCCGTGTACGCCAAGAACGTCTGGGAGATTGTCCCAGGTCGACCTCCGGGTACTAGACATACCCTGGTTCTGGTCGTCCGAAACAGTTGGTCCTTCGAGCCGGATCCCTGCTAGAAGAAGTTCAGAAGAAACAGAAGATTGCGTTCAAGATGCCGGTAACCAGGTCGCAGAAGGATGCCCCCTCACGTCCCGGGTCCCGTCCTTCAGATAGGGACGCGACAGATGGAACGTCGGGATCAGAAGGGGTCACGTCAGCGTCGGCGTCATCGGGAACTGCAACTACATCGAACACTTCTTCGGGTACCACGACCACGGAGGGCACCACAGTGACGGAGACTACGGTTACGACTGCAACTACGGCGGCGTCTATGGAAGGCAACAAAGAAGATGCTGCACAGAGGATGACCAGGAAGAGCCAAGAAGATGTACCTGGAAGGGATGTTCAAGGCTCCTCCAAGACCCTGAAACCGATGGGGGTCAGTCGTCGCGCCAGGTCCACGAAGACCACGAGTTCCTCGGCCAGAAGACGCGAGCTAGAAGCAAAGGAAGAGTTGGCACGCCTGGAGTTGAAGCAAGCACAGGCTGAAACTAAGCTAGCCCGTGTCAGATTGGAGATGGCACAGTGTGAAGAAGAGGACTCCGTGGATGAAGACCTGGAAGACAGAACAGCACAGGTGCAGAACTGGATCGAGACGTCTGTGCTGGAGGATGGCAACAAAGTTCAACCAGAGATGCGAGGTCCACACCCCTTGGAAGAGCCACAGAAGATGAAGCCTGAAGAGAACTCCTCAACGAGAGGAGCTACGATTGAAATTCAAGCACTGACGGCAGCATTGAAGGAAGCTCTTACCACGCGAGGACCAGCAGGACAGCCAACCTACATTCACGAGTTACCCTACTTCGACGGCAACAGCAGCGAGTGGATGGCCTTCAAGGTTGTCTATGAAGATACAGCACCGATGTTCAACAACGTCCAGAATATGGCTCGGCTAAGAAGAGCACTGAAGGGCAACGCAAGAGAAGCTATCAAGAGTCTGCTGTACTCCGAAGCCTCTCCGATGGAAGTGATTCAAGCCCTCAGAAGAAGATATGGAAGACCAGATGCACTGGTGCTGGCAGAGTTGGACAAGGTCAAAACGTTGCCGAAGATTTCTGAAAACCCAAGGGACATATGCCTCTTCGCGAGCCAGATCAGCAACAGCGTAGCGGCAATAAAAGGATTGAAGAAACCACAGTACCTGCATTCACCTGAGATGGTGAAACAAATTATTGAGAAGATGCCTACGATCCTCAAGTTCCGATGGTACGACTTCATTGAAACAACAGAAGAAGGCGAGTTCTCCGACCTAACACTGGTGTCCAAGTTCCTGAACAGAGAAGCAGACAAGTGTGGAGCCTATGCATCAACAGAAGAGAAGAGCGGGTTCAGACGGACTCATCGACAAGCAACGCATTCAACTAAGGAAAAGGACTTCAAAGAAAAGGTTTCAAGATCAGAGAAGACTTGCCCCATGTGTGAGGGTGAACACTTCCTCGTCGGGTGTCAGAAGTTCCTGAAGGCGTCTGTGCAAGATCGATGGGCAATAGTGAAGAAAAGCCGCGTTTGCTTCAAGTGTTTACAAGGGACACATCGGAAGGAGAGCTGCAAGAAGCCGTCGTGCAAGGAATGCAAGAGGTGGCATCATCATCTGCTGCACGTCGAGACAGAGAAAAGTTCCTCGGAAGAACAGAAGAACAAACCACAAGAAGTGGCGAGCATCATGGCATCGGTGAATGCGGTCAACAACGCAAGGGCATACCTGAAGATAATTCCGATAGAAATCTTCGGGTCAAAAGGATCAAAGAAGATATTGGCCCTCATGGATGAAGGGTCAACAGTGTCGCTGCTAGACCAGAAGGTAGCAGAAGAAATCGGCGCTCAAGGAAGAAAGGAGGAACTGGTCATCGAGACTGTTGGAGGCAGGCTGATAAGGAAGGAAGACTCTCAGATGCTTGACCTTACGGTGAAGGGGATTCATCAGAAGACCAAGAAGACCTTGAGAAGAGTCCGGACCATCGAAGAGTTGAAGCTTGCACCGCAGTTCCTAGAAAAGAAAAGGATAGAAGAGTGTCAACACTTGAAGAAGATTGCTGACTCTCTATATTATAAGGGGGAGTCACCACAGCTGCTCATCGGTCAAGACAACTGGGAGCTAATCGTGACTCAAGAAGTAAGAAGAGGGAAACCAGGACAACCAGTCGCTTCAAGAACAGGACTTGGATGGGTGCTCCACGGGTCAGACACTGGAGGCGCGAAAGTGGTGCACTTCTTAAACACGTGTCTACATGTCAGCACGCCAGAAGAAGAGATGCATCAAGCCATCAAGGATCACTTCGCAATCGAAGCACTTGGAGTACTACCAAGAAGACCCACTACGGATTCAGAAGAAAGAGCACTCACCATCCTAGAGAAGACCTGCAGAAGACTAGAAGATGGTCGATTTGAAGCTGGACTTCTATGGAAAAATGAAGATGAACAGATGCCTGAAAGCTACACGTCTGCCAAGAACCGATTGTTCAACATTGAAAAGAAGATAGACAAAGACCCTCAGCTGAAGGCAGAATACAATAAGCAGATCCAGCATCTAATCGACAGCAAGTATGCAGAAGAAGCACCTGGTGGACAAGAAGATTCAAAGAAGACATGGTACCTCCCTCATTTCTCCGTGGTACATCCATTGAAGAAGAAAATAAGGATCGTCTTCGACGCTGCAGCCAAGTCTAAAGGGAGAAGCCTCAACGACGCTTTACTACCGGGACCAGACCTACTGCAATCGCTCTTCGGGGTATTACTGAGGTTCCGGCAAGGCCCGTTTGCAGTGGCAGCCGACATAAAGGAAATGTTCCTGCAAGTTCGCATCCGGCCAGAAGATAGAAACAGCTTGAAGTTCCTGTGGCGAGGGGATCGTCGTGACGTAGCACCGAAGGAGTACAGAATGACATCAGTCATCTTCGGCGCGACATCATCTCCTAGCACAGCGATCTACGTGAAGAACCGGAACGCGGCGGACTACAAGAAGCAGTACCCAGAGGCAGCAAAGGCAATCGAGCTGAACCATTACATGGATGACTACCTGCACAGCTTCCATTCAGAAGAGGACTTCAAGAGAATTACAGCGCAGGTGGACTTCATTCACAAAAAGGCGGGCTTCGAACTCCGAGGATGGGCGTCAAACCACTCCGACCTGCTGCAAGACGTGAAGACTGAGTCAGTTGAGAAGACAGAGGTGGACCTTGGTGAGAAGGAAGAGAAGACACTGGGACTACGCTGGTTTACAGAAAGGGACTCCATAGGCTTTAGGGCGAACCTTCGGAACACGCCAGATGAAGTGGCACAAGGACTCAAGGTACCTACGAAGAGAGAAGTCACCAGCGCCGTGATGTCGACCTTCGATCCACTAGGGCTAGCATCACCAATTCTCATCCAAGGCAAAAGGCTGCTCCAGAACATATGGCGAAGTGGCGTCGGTTGGGATGAAGAGATAGAAGAAAAGGAGTACGAGTCATGGAAGACTTACCTGGAGAAGATGAAGCTGCTCCAAGACCTTCAGATCCCGAGATGTCTGGCACCACGTCGCACCGAGGGGGAGCTGCACACGTTCACGGATGCAAGCGAAATGGCGTATGCAGCTACGGTATATTGGAGAACTGAAAATCAAAATGGGACTTATGACGTCAGCTTAGTAGCAGCAAAAGTAAGAGTCGCTCCGTTGAAGCCGGTGTCAATCCCGAGACTCGAGCTGCAAGCGGCCCTCCTAGGAAGCAGATTGGCACACTCGGTCGAGGAAGAAATGGATCTGAAAATAGAAAAGAAGACGTTTTGGACAGACTCCAGTATCGTGCTATCATGGATCAAGACGGACCCGAGAACCTTCAAGACATTCGTGGCTCATCGCTTGGCGGAGATAGAAGATCTCACAAAACCACAGGACTGGAGATGGGTACCGACGGCGCAGAACCCTGCAGATGATGCAACACGTGACGTACCAGAACACTTCGACTGCCAACACCGATGGTACACCGGACCAGGGTTTCTAAGAAGAGATGAAGTTCACTGGCCTGCGGCAAGAACATTCAAGAAAGAAACCACTGGCGAAGAAAAGGCAGCGGACATCGTAGCGACTGCAGGCAGCTCCTATCCATCACCAGATCCCGAAAAGTTCTCGTCGTGGAAAAGACTTTGGCGAGCTACAGCAAGAGTACTGCAGTTCATACAACTCTGCAGAAGAAAGGAAAAGGTCCACGCCAGCAAAGAAGATCCTACCTGGAAAACTACAAAAAGGAATAAGAAAATTGTTGAGAAGCGACATCTGTCTTCAAAAACGTCAGAAAGGAAATACATACCATTGGAAACAAGTCTACTAGAGCAAGCTGAAACGCTGTTGTTAAGAAGAAGTCAAGAGAAATGCTTCAAAGAGGACATCAGGTGCCTACAGCAAGGAAAACAATTAGAGGGCAGCAGCAAGTTGAAAAGGCTCGACGTAGTGCTAGAAGAAGGTCTCCTGCGACTGAAAGGAAGAATCGACGCGATACGAGGGGTTACCAGAGACTACAAACGACCCATCGTACTCGACAGCAAGGACAAGACAACACTTCTCATCATAGAAGAATTTCACTGCCGCTTCAATCACGGGAATCACGCGACCGTAATGAACGAAGTAAGACAACGCTTCTGGGTGCTAGGACTGAGGTCAGCGATCAAGACCATTCAACATCAATGCCAGTGGTGCAAAACAAGAAAGGCAAGACCTCAAGAACTACCAGTGGGCAACTTACCTGCTGAGAGGCTGATGCACGGAAACCCTCCATTTACGTGCACGGGAATAGATTACTTCGGCCCTATGACGATCACCGTAGCAAGACGCCATGAGAAGAGATGGGGTGCTCTATTCACATGCTTAACAACACGAGCTGTACACATTGAGCTCACTCCTTCACTCTCCACTGACAGCATGATCATGGCACTACGACGATTCGCCGCGAGAAGGGGAATGCCAAAGATAATCTACACCGACAATGGCACTAACTTCGTTGGCGCCAACAAAGAACTCAAAGAAGCACTAGACACCATGAAGCAAGAAGACCTTATCTCGGAAGCGGAGAAGATCGGTGGGCAGTGGAAGTTCATACCTCCTGGTGCACCAAACATGGGAGGTGCATGGGAGCGTCTGGTGCGATCCATTAAAACCGCACTGGACGCCACGCTCAACGAAAGGCAACCACGAGAGGAGGTACTTCATACCCTCCTGTTAGAGGCCGAGCACATAGTCAACTCTCGGCCCCTCACCCACCTCTCCGAGAACCCTGAAGAAGAAGCACTTACACCGAACCACTTTCTCATCGGGCGATCATGTGGCGCAGCAAGAATCGGCAGCTTCGAGGACAACGAGCTTGTGGGCAGACACACCTGGAAGGCTACGCAGCGACTTGCCGATCACTTCTGGCAACGTTGGCTGAGAGAGTATTTGCCCACTCTACTACCAAGGAAAACCAAAGGAAGAGTCAGCGCCACAGATTTGCAAGTCGGAGACATCGTACTGATCGTCGATCACAGCCTACCAAGATGCATCTGGCCACGCGGAAGAATCCTGCATGTGTATCCTGGACCAGACGGGCGGACCAGAGTCGTCGACGTCGAGACCAGAGGAGGTGTTCTACGGAGGCCCAGTTCGAGAGTGGTGCTGTTGGTGCCGGGAGCGTCGCCGAGTCCAGGAGTTGGTGCAAAGCACGAGGGGGAGAATGTCGGCGACGGAAAACCTATCTTCGAGTAACGTGTGTATTAATATAGGGACAATGTCATTTTAGCGTATTATGAATAATTGTTGTAAATATTAAATCTCATTCTTATTAGATTTATTACGTTAAAATAAGTTCTAATTAGTGTAATAAGGTTAGTTTAGAGTATTTTTTGCTTATTTGAATCATATAAGACTATTTAACATTAATTTGAAAGGAATAGGTACGTAAGTAAAATGTTAGCATATAATTACGTAACTTGAAAATGAGATTTTTTGTTTTAAGACTTTTTTAATTAATTATTATATATTGAATATTATGTTTTAATATTGTATAATAGTATGTAAGGCATGTAAATAAATAAATATGTGTAAGGTGTTTTACTGAAAACATAAAATAAAAGGACTCTCAAGGTTTCGGTTTAGGGAAATTTTATTCGAAAAATGAGCTCAAAGTACGCGGCTCTCTGTAAGGTATTAACGGGCCAAATAAAAGGCGAGCCATTTCTCGATTCGAGTCAGTCGCAAGACAGCCACCGAAGAGGCAACAACTAAAAGGAAAAGGAAGAACCGAAACCAAGAGAGAAAAAAGGAAAAATTGTGTTTTATTTCATCGCCTCTAAGTATAGTCTCCTGTCAACGAAGAAACCCTAGTGGATCGGGACCCAAGCTACGCATTCAGGGGTGCGTGGTGGCGTACATTACCAGCGAACGGACATACTGCCGTGTACGCCAAGAACGTCTGGGAGATTGTCCCAGGTCGACCTCCGGGTACTAGACATACCCTGGTTCTGGTCGTCCGAAACACGAATCGATAGTCTAAGGTAGCTGGTAGGGTATTTCTACATGAATAAACATAATAAATGATTTTTTATGTTTACGTAAATATATATTTGACCTTTAAATAGGATAGTGAAGTCGAATATAATCGGGTGAAACTTCGGTGGCGTGTAACTTGTTTGTTGTTGTTGTTAACGTTGTCGGTTCGCATAATGCCTTGCTAATTTATTTTACCCGTAAATCAACTATTTAATAGAGACCGAATAATAAGCCAGCTACTATGATATCATTGATAACATTCTAAATATCATATTATAAATAATTTTGCCGCTATTATTATACTATTATCACACAATATTAAAATGTTTAGAATTAAAATAAACAAATATTTTAAGGTACTTTGGTGTCATTTTGAATTTTTGAAATTGTTTTGTAAATTTATAGAATATAAGATAGGCACAGATTGAATTTTTGAAATCGTTTTGTAAATTTATAGAATATAAGATATTATTATTATTATCACTGTCTGTAACAAGTGTATAATGACCTTGAGACATCGAAAACTAGTCTGTCCCGTGACCATGATTGCTGTAAAGCATTTGAAACGTCGGGAACCACAAATCAAAATAAATCCGCGAAAAAATCGGATTTTCGATTAGAAACCCTTTTTATCACACTTTTAATTTTAAAGTCAATACTATATTCATAGGAAGGTATATCTATGGGAAATATATCTTGTAATTTATAGATGTCCCTTGAGCTATTACATAAGTTATAATTATTAAAAAAATAACTTAAAAATCTATTTATAAATTGGTGAAAATATCGCGCAAAACACACAAAAATACATATCCCAATTTAATACTTACTCCTTTCCCGACGTCGGTCTAAATTCTTTTATCTAAGTATGTAAAACATAAATATTATAATGTTACAGACACTGAATTACCAAAAGCCACAAGTACGTCTGCTCTCAGCGGCGCGGGCATGTTGCGTTTGTTCAACAAAGTGGGTGAGACAGTCAACAAGATCACGTACAGAATGGATGAATCTGACCCGGTTAGTACGAAATGCTTATGGGGTTATTGTTATACATATGATAGTTTGTATGTTTGTTACGCTTTCCACAATAACCGTGGGGTTGCTCTAACGGTCCACTCTGCTATCAGGGAAGTACCAGGAGCAATCCGCATGGTACAAAGCTCACCCACCCAGCCGTAATGCCGGAAGCTAATAAGCACCTCCCACCCCTCCACCCTCCCTCGTCCACCACGACAAGTTAATCGTCCTAAAGTATTAATATTTAAATAACCTCGTAGCTAATAAAATTATTAACCGGTGACCTAAAAAGCTTTAAAACTTGCAAATAAAAATCTTTTTCTGAAGCATAAAAATATAAGAGGAAAATGTAGTGCTACATTTATATGGGTTATTTAATACCACTTTACATGCAGAAATGATGAATAATTAAAATTATTTATATCCAATCGTGTTATGGTAATTATTAGTAATAATAAGATTTATAATATTTTACTACGTTTTGATATTTTTCTCATTTTCTTTGAATAGTTTATCAAAGAGTTTTTTGTTACTATATATATCTTCCAAATTGTATTTAAAATCAAAGAAAATGAACTTACTAAAGATTGAGTTAACCACATTTCTTGCCATAGTATTTCTATTATTCCTTATATCCTAAGAATGCCAAAAAAATTTGCCGTCTTATTTGGTTTACGGCGTATTTACTTTGAACAAACATATACAAATTACAGTTATATATGTGGATCGCGATATTATGATCTTGAAAAGACGTCCCTAGTGAATAACAAAAACAAATCTATCCCACGGGAACCATAGTATATTTTTCTGGGATAAAAATGTGCTCTTCCAGACTATAATCTATCTCTGTGCCAAATTCCATCCAAATCCGTTAAGCCGTTCTGGTGTGAAAGAGTAACAAACATCCATCCATCTTCACAAACTTTCACATTTATAATATTAGTATGGATATGGATGAAATTAAAATTACAATTTTGACAGTAACATAATATTGTGCCACTAATGTGGATTTGCGTAATCTTTATGACTTTTTTAAAGACGTGCTTATTCAGTCACGGTAATAAAAATATTATGTAAATTGTATAATAATATTAATAGTGGTTTTTTTTCCATATTATTAAATTCTTTTTGTGTCTGTTCCTCCTAAGGACTAAATGACCTTGTTCTATTTGTAGTTGTTCATAAAAATTTAGAATAACAATAAAATGAATAAAGTTATGGTTGAAAAACTGGTATTATTCTTTATATTTATTTTGTTTATATATCATTTCAGTGGTTTGAAGAGCGGATCGCTCGTATAGAATCCCTAGAGAGTGGACTTCGTCGACTCTGCGGCGCTTGCGAGGCGTTGGCTAATGAGAGACGAGAATTGGGTACGTGATTATCTATTCTATACATACAATAAAATTGTAACTGATTACTGTCTGTACATGGAAGATACTTGAGAAAAACTACTATTGGAGGTCTTTATTAACGCAATAGAACCCAAAACAATGATTTTTAGAATTTTTGTCTGTGCGTTTGTGCTCGCTAATATAAGAAACGGCTAAACCGATTTAGGTGCGGTTTTCGCTAATGTGTTGTGGTAAGCTTCACTTAATATTTATTATTTGTTTTATTTCAATCGGTTCATAAATAAAAAAGTTATGTAAGAATCACCTAGGGACGAACCCGAGTGAAGCGTGGGTAAGTCGCTAGTACATTTTAAAGTTATTCTTAATCACAAGTTTTAGTAAGTAAGAACATAGGATAGTTTTTATCCCGGAAATCATCCCTTAAGGGAGTGGCAATGGCGATGAAAGTTGTATGAGAAATCTAAGGTACGAACTCGAGCAAAGCTAGAGTGAGGCGCTAGTATTTTTTAATCTTGCCGTAGCAAGATTTTCAAAAATATGAAAGACTCATTTGAGTGTTCCCCTCCACGGAAATCTTTAGTAAAAGGCGAAAGATTTATACGTTTTGAAGGGAAACCAGAGATACATATTTGAAACCAGTCACATCGGTTATACTTTATAGAACGGCATCTTGACAGCGCGATTCAGAAATGCCATCGAATGGTATAGCGCCATCTAGTAGTGGATTTCTGTACTACTTTAAAAATGCAAAGTGGCAATCATATGCAAAAGAGGTCGTAGGCATTTAACTAGCGACCTCGACAATATTATTAAAATTTCAAAACAATAAATATAGTTGTTTAAGTTTAATAATCATATTTTAATTATAAAATTAAAGAAGTATCGTAGTTTCTGTGTTCGATAGCCATCGGTTGGCCAATGGATAAATGTAGCACACAATGTTTTGGTCTGCTTCACAAAAGAAATATGGCGGTAAATATTCGTACCGTGCTACTGTTCAAATTAATTTTCAAGTATTGAAGCTAGTTAACGTCACGTTCCACATAACGTGGTAATGAATATTAAAATTGCAGTGCAATGTGTCGCATACCATCACATTAAAATACATACTTAGACTAAAGAATTATAAAGAAAAATAAATGTCAAAGTCAAAAATAGTACCGTGATTTGCTGTTTATGCTATTATTCTCGATTTGTCATAGAGATAGTTTACTTAAAAAAAAGGGAAAATTTTATATATGTACATATATATTATATATTAGGTAACTTAACATACATTTTTATTTTTTAGGTATAAAATATGAAAAATATGAATACCAAAATAATATTATATTCTTTGGAATTTTTAAGCATTCATTTTCTATCCGTTGAAAGAGAGATAGCATAATATTAGCTTATTTAATTATTATTTTTCTTTATTATAATAAAAATCAGTTAGCTATTTTAATTTATTAAAATTTATTTACGTATCATTCAGTATACAAATTATCATTCGTATACTATTTTAAAATGTAATTGTTTGGCTTCATGTTTAGTTCAGTTCCATGATATTCTATATTTTAGTCCTTAATCTGAGACACGAACATACATAACACACAATATATCTATTTACCAGCGGGCCGAGCCCACGATGCGGCGCGTGCGATCGCCGCCGCGGCGGCCGCGGACCCGCACCCACCACTCTCCCGGGCCCTCTCATACCTCTCTGATTTGCATGAGAAGGTAAGACAATTATAATATATATTTAATTTTATTTTATTTAGGATCTCCAACAAAAGATACACACTATATGTATACAACATCATATAAAAACATAAAAAGCAAATAAGACTCACAACCCTTGTGCTCCTTCATTTATAATAGGCCACAGCTTGCTCATTTATGTATTATAAGTTATAACTAAGTTTAACCTAAGATAAAATTAAGGTAGGTATCTATATTTCGAGAAACAAATCTGAAAACATTTATAAAGATAAAAAAGAAACAAATCATATTACAACACATTTAGACATTTCTACTAAAGTTGAGACAGGAATTTAGTAATTTTTTTTTTATTTTTTTTTTAATTTTATTTATATTTGTACTAATATAATATAAAGATAAAGAATTTGATTATTTGTAATTGTAATAGCCACGGCGACCAATCTCACTGATACTAGCCAACTGCGCAGAAGATATATTGCTCAAGTGTACGTGCAAAGACAATTCACTGTTATAATACAGTGGGATGACTACTCAATACTCTATATATTTTATACTTATGACTAGGTTCGTTTTCAATAGATAAAGTTACGATGAGTGTACCTTAGAAAATACATACATACATGCAGAAAGTGCTAATAATTAAATGTTATATATCTATACATATAAATACTCATAACTGTATGTACTTGAGAAGACAGTTATTTTGAAATTACAGAAGTCTGTGATATGTAAATTGTATTAAAGTTGAGTTGAGTAAAATTTTTACGATGCGCGCGCCATTCGACAGCCAAAAAGCGACATTCAATGAAGTTGGCTGCATTCCTTTTACAAACAGAGAGTTGTGACACACGGGATGAAATCTTTAGCTATTTTCATTCTGTTACGCCAAAGGAGTATAACTTCTTGTGTGCGTACATAAGTATACACAGACGTTTTTTTATATGTATAGATACTATATATTATTATTTTAATAACTATCACTGATTTATCTTATTTCAGATTGAACACTTAAGAAACGAACAAGCCAACACTGACTTCTACGTTCTCACGGAGCACATAAAGGACTACCTCGGCCTCATCGGCGCCATTAAAGATGTTTTCCATGAGAGGGTCAAGGTACTATATTATATTTAGAATTTTAATACTTATTTTTTTAGTTTATTTTCATGTGTTTATAAATTATGTTTTATATTGTAACTTTATTTATTTAGTTAGTGTTACATTGTTGTTATTTACTACTGACTCAACCTCGCTCCTCTCGGGTTCGTTTATTATACACTAGCAGTGCCCACGGCTCCGCCCGCGTTTAGATGACTAAAAACCAAATTCTTAGGTTTTACATATTAGTATACTCTTACATTGCAATTTTGGCATTTTTTCTCTGAAATGAGATATTTTCCCGCGGTAAAAAGTACCCTATATATTGACCCGGATAACCAGCTATCACCATACCAAATTTTATCAAAACCCCTCACGTGGTTTTTCTGTGATGCGGTAACAGACAGATAAAAAATCTAAAAACTATAGATTCGACCTCTGTATCGATAATAATGTTTATTTCAATAAGATTTTCCAAAAAATATTTAATGTACAGATTCGGCTTAGTAACAATTTTATTATATGTATAGATTTGTTAGAGATGAGATATTTTCCCGCCGTGAAAAGTACCCTTTATGTTGACCCGGATAACCAGCTACCATCATACCAAATTTCATCAAAATCTGTGAAGTGGTTTTCTCGTGATGCGGTCAAAGACAGACAGACAGACAGACAAAGATTCTAAAAACCATAGATTCGGCCTCTGTATGAGCAATAATGACTTTTTCAATAAGATTTTACAAAAAATATTTAATGTACAGATTCGACTCAGTTAGAATTTTATTATATGTATAGGTTATTTAGTGCTTTTAGACTATAAAAAGTCTAGTTTCAGAATCTACATAAATAAAAATGAATCATCAAAATGTATATATATAATATACGCGCATAACTTCCGATCGACTGCACCAAATTGGATAATTCTATATTTGGGGTTTGTTATTGTCAGGACAAGCTTTGTATAGAAGAAAATTATATGATATTTTTTTTTAACTAAATTAAGTTTTTTTTAAATCTCATGATATGAAAAGTGAGTGAGTGAAATAGTTTTTATCCCGAAAATCATCCCTTAAGGTAGTGAGAATGGCAATGAAAATTTGTATGGGGAAGCAAGCTAGGTACGAAACTATGAACCCAAGCAAAGCGAGGGTAAGTCGCTAGTTAATCAATAAAGCACAGATAAATAATAGTTACAAATGGTATCACGTAGTAAGTACTTTTAGTACAGTTTTATGGTTTAACGTGTTTCATACAATTACAATGACACATAACTAAACACATGACGCCACTTCCATTTGTTGCAATTTTTACAATTCTATACCAGTTTGAATTATAACTAGGTCGATAAAATTTAGAAACAGTTTATTAATGCCAATTATGTTTTTGTTATGTATGTTGACGGGGACAAGTGATTAGTGAAATGCTGGGTATATAATATATAGTTGTATACGTACTATTTTATTGTTCGAGCAGAATCGCGTTGTGGGAGCAGCCATTACATTTTAAATTTACCCACACATAATCCTCCCATTTTAGATACTTATTTAGAGATAACACTAAATATATTTACTTATAGCCTAAATACATTACCTAACTACGATACTAAATAAAACTTCAGGTATTCCAAAACTGGCAGCATGCAGTGATGCAGCTGACGAAGAGAAGAGAGAACAAAGCGAAAGCCGAACTCGCCAACCGTCCAGAGAAGATTGAACAGGCGTCCAACGAGATTATAGATGTATGTTATTTATTTTTTAAATAATTTTTACTCGTGGTTTCGTTGGTATCCTTGTTCATAATTCTATCTATGCTCTTGCTTATCGAAATCTGTTCAGTGGTTTAAGCGTGAAAAGAAACATTCATATGGGATTTGAAAGATGAGTATAAGTGAAACGATATTTTAAAAGTAAAAGGAGACGTATGATATAATTTTAAGAATAGTATGGAATGAAAGATGAATAAAAGAAGGGTGATTTGTTTTAATGTCCTTCTCCAAGATCCTTTCTATCGCTATACCAAAACTCATCATAATTGGTTCAGCAATTAAGGCGTGCAAACGTAACAGACAGACAGTTTCTTTCCCATTTATAATATCACTAGCCACGCACACTCGCTTCGCTCGGGATCGTCCCTAGGTACGTCTTAACGGTTAGTATGAAATACAAATCTTTGAATTTCTCGGCGTTTCTGTACTATAATATACATGTATTATACATATAAACCTTCCTATTAAATCACTCTATCTATTGCTGAAAACTGCATTAAAATCCGTCGAGTAGTTTAAAAGATCTAAGCGAACAGACAGGGAAGCGACTTCACTTTATACTATGTAAAGATTAGTATGTATTAGTAATGATTGATATCTTTTGTTCCGTCCAGTGGGAGGCAAAAGTGGAGCGCGGCAAGCAGGAGTTCGACACGATCTCGCGCGTCATCAAGAAGGAGCTGGAGCGCTGGGAGGAGGCGCGCGTGGGCGAGCTGCGCGCCACCGTGCTGCGCTACCTGGACGAACACATGAAGCACGAGGCTCAGGTCACTACCTACTCTTTAGGGTTCCGTACCTTAAAAGGTAACAAAGGAACCCTTATAAGATCACTCTCTTGCCCGTCTGTCTGTCCGTGTGTCACCACCGATTTTCTCAGGAACGGGTGGACCTAGCAAGTTGAAATTTATACCAGCTCGTCAATAGCTACTAAACAAAAAAAAAGAAAACCGGTTGACAAACAGAGGTTAAAAAGTACTGAACTATGTATGTATATAGATTCAAATCATTTGTGACAGTCGTATAACAAGATTATATTATACCAAAAGTACCCGACTGACTATACATATGCCTGTATTAAATATTAAAAAAAACATGTGAGGGTACTTAGCACGTAAGAAGTTATACTTCTTTGGCGTAACGGAACAAAAATAGCTAATGATTTCATCCCGTATGTCACAACTCTCTTGTTTGTAAAAGGACTAAACTTCATTATGTCACCTTGAGCTAACTTCATCATGTCTCTTTTTGGCAATCTGTGTGCGCGCGTGTCGTAAAAATTATACTCTCATATTTTTTTGCAAATGTCACAAAAGAAATATAACGTTATAAACGAAATATTTCCAACAGTATTTTTATTTTTGCGATGTTTTTAGGCTATAACTATGTGAGCAATGTAATAATAATTAGAAAAATGACATACATATTCCGTATCCCACAGGCCATTCGTTACTGGGACGCGTTCCTACCGGAGGCGCGCGCGATCAAATGAGTGCGGTTGCCGAGGCGACTCCACCCCCGCGCCTTCACACGGACATGTTCGTAGTTCACTGTACATTATACACTTGTTCTAATTATACTTTATATATAATATAATCTGTTCAACTTTATCACACAATAATTATTATTATAATCTGTGGCTCGCGTGAATATGATGTATTGATATGTCAGAATCGTGGTCGTAGAGAATGGGGTTGTTGTCATGAAATTGACAAAGAGAGACAGTGTAGCCAAAACCCGTCTTTCATTCCAATTTAAATTAAAAAAAATAATATTACTTATTGAAAATTATAATATTATAATGGAATGTAAAATGATTATAAATATCTATCTTCGTTAATCGTATTTCAATTAATACAGAAGACTTGACCGCACGTTCATTTTGTCTCTGTCGCTTTTCCGCTATTTTAAGGCTGGCAAAGAAACAGTCCACTATCTATCTCTATGTCTATAATTTGAATGTCAATTTGACAGGGCGGCAATTTTAAAGTTTTGACAATTCTCATTTAATATCAGACTTATTTGTTGCAATTTCATATTTTCTTTATGGATATTATAATATGAAAGTTGAAGAAATATTTTGATTTAATGAAACTTGTCAAATTTTAAATTGAAATTTAGATTTAGAACATATTCACGCCGGCCACTCAATTTCTTATTCAAAATGTTAATTTTCCTTATGATTCATACATAAAAAATATACATTACTTAACGGAGGTAAGCCCTCTTACTGTGTTACCAATAACCTATCGTCCTGTAATATTTCTTACTAGCGATAAACATAACATAGTAAGCTCCATAAAAATTATCTCAAATTCCTATATCTAGTAAGGAGACCACAGATAGGTTATTGAAAGTCATGGTTCATAATTTTTTGTATTTGTATATTGTACTACATTTTAACGCAGATAAGAAATGTAAGAACTGAATGAAGGTAGGAGTGTTTTTTAGTTCTAGCTGTGTTGTTTGAATGACTATCGTTTCTGGTGGCACCAGTTGGCGTTATTGGCGAGTGAGGTCCTATCGCTGTCGTTGAAAAGTATTTATTTGTTCGGTCAATAAATTTATTATAATAATTATAATTATTAACGCGAAAACAGTTTTATCAGGAGTTTGGTAATAATTAATCATAACGAAATAAATGAAATATTGACGTTTTTTTAAATCTTCCTTTAAACCAATAATATTTATTGTGCCGTACCATCTCTGCCACTGCCACTGCCGTACTCAGGAATGGCACAATCTTTACAATAATCACTAATATTAGTGAAAATCCGCCATAAAAAGCTCGCAAACGGTAAACGTTCTGTACAATTTGACATTTCTAGAGACCTTACTCTACACTAGCGCCCTCTCGGGGCGAATTCAAGCGCGGTAGCCCCCATTGTAATGAATCAAAACATAAAATAAATCGGTTCGGTTTCGTTTAATATTTAAATTAATATATTACTATTACTTTATTTATACACACAGTAATCGTATATTTCGTTTCATCATTCATAAATATCACGTAGGCAAGCTATAGAGGGTGTTTAAATGAATGTAAGGTATTTAAAAATTGATAGAAAGAGACGGCTTTTTCTGAAGTCTTTTCTGTCTTTTTCTTATAAAATTTAAAAATATTTTAGAGGATAAAAGGCTCAATAGTGAAATTTACAATCCATTGTTGTTCTGAATATACTATTAAGAAATAAAAATGTCAAGTTATCAGTTAAGTGAAAACAGTCAAAAAATATTTTAACATAAAATTTTGACGTTAATTATATTAATTATCCCTAATGCTCATTTCCAATTGCTAAAATAAAGATTTTTTTAATTTTTTAGTTCGTTATTTATAAGCTCGCCTACTTGTATGGAACATAATATAAAATGTTTTAAAAATATTGTTTTTAGAATTTCATATGCATTTGTATTGGAAATTGATCTCTCTAAAGTAAATAAGAGATTAGTGTCGATATCGTTGAAATAAAAAAGATACGAAAATTGTGCGTCCCAGATGAAAAAAAAAGAAATATTTTAAATTAAAAATTTAGTATAAATCATTTTATTGTATTAATAAGTTTTTTTAATATGAACAGTATACATCTATCCTCATAGATAATGTATATGTATAGGCTGTGTCTTCAATAATATAGACATAGATTGTTAGAAGTCTGGCTCTCCTTTTTTTATTAATTTACGCTGTTATAGAATAAAGTCGAAAATGAAATGGCTGTATAGTTTACTGCGACTTATCATCGCTTCGTTTGCGTTCGTCCCTAGGTTGCTTCCCCATACAAACTATCACCCCCATTTTCAGCTCCTTAAGGAATGTTTTCTGGCATAAAAGCTATCCTTTCTCCTTCCCATGGTTTCAAACTATCTTATTACCAAATTTCATCTAAATCGGTTCAGTACTTTCGGAGCCTATTCGATACAAACAAGCAAACAAAAAAAGAGTTTTCCTCTGTATAATATTAGAATAGATTGCGTTTGACATTCTTTAAGTATATGGAGGGTAGAGGTAAGAAGAACTATCTTACATGGGAGACAAGTTGAAATGGTGTCCATAAAGTTAATAAACACCAGAATGGCGCTAGAGTAGCAAGAAGGTGTATATGAATTTAGCAATTGTAAACAGAGTGAAGTGAAAGTACATAATATATGATTGTTTCTGAAATTGAAAAATAAATCAAACATCTTACATATTATAAATGTAAGCATGTATTTATAGATTGTATTTTATTTCACAAATGATGGTGACAGTATATGGACGTGATTTATTTTATAGAGAAAGTTGGTGGACTGAAGAGTAGCATAAATGGTATTTATGTGTTTAGAAGCGCATAAGGTCCGAAAAAACTAATTGTATACAGTTTCATTTACGACTTTGTTCTATTCTGACTAAAACCTTCGTAGATCGTCTGTCGGTACTTTATGAGATATTTTAAATTGGTTGCTATTAAGAAACATGTACATTACTTGTAGTTGTTGTATGTATATTGACTTGCATTACACCGCAGACGTAGAGAATGGACTGAGCAATACTCTCGTGAAATTGACAACTCTCTAGAAAGAGAAAGCGAACGTGCAGCCATACCTGTATTTTATTACAATTTGAATTTTTAAAGGATAGTTAAAAATATTACAAAAAAGAATTTAAAATTATAATATTATGATGGAACCTAAAATGGTTATAAATATCTATCTTCATTAATCGTATTTCAATTAATACAGAACTGGCCGCACATTCGTTTTGTCTCTCTCGCGCCTGACCGCCATTTTAGCTGACGGCTGGCAAAGGTATATATAGTTCACTCTCTATTTCTATTGTCTATGCCTTAAACAGTCTTGTTTTTGAATTCTTATATAAAACGTGAAAATGTTGTGGTTGAGTCTTCATTAAATATTAAGTGAGTTTGATCAATTATGGATTTTAGTTGAATGAATATTATGAGTTTTTATTAATCTTTCACACATAAAAATATAGTAATTGTAAATATATTTTATCACATTCCGCGATTTTTTTTATATAATCTTCTATAGAGACTTAGTCGTTAAATGAATATCTTTCAATTAAATGTATTGATTTAATATATTACTTCTGATTTAGTCGTGTTTTTGGCAAAGTGATGATGGCTCAATTTTTTAAAGGAAAGAATAATCCATGATTGATCTCGAATGACGTTTTTGTAATACCTTGTCATGCGAATCTTTTTATTTATAAGATATTTATCCAAAAAATAGTTGTTAGCTTTCGAAAATATGTTTTATTTTAAGTTTATATATATAAATAGTTTTTATGTCACAGCCTTGCTTGTGCACAATAAAAAAAAACAAATATAATAAAAAAAGCGATCAGAAATATAAAAAAGCTGTTATAAAAAATTATAATTTATCATAATAATTTTATGACATATCTAGTATAAAATTTAATAAAAAAGCTTCCAACGCCATGGTATTCGCAAGAGGCAGTGGTAACCCAGTGGGAACGCGCTCGCTTGGGGAACCGAGTGAAGCGGGTTCAAATCCCGGTCTCGCACCTCTGATATTTTCATTTGCGAATCATTTCCAACATTGTTACTACTTGTCTTAACGGTGAAGGAAAAAACATCGTGAGGAAACCTGCCTGTCTGAGAGAACCTAGCAAGTTTTCAAAAGACATCTGAAGTCCGCCAAACCGCACTTGGCCAGCTTGGTGGGCTATGACCTGATCATCCTAATGTTGAAGCGAGACCCGTGCCCAGCAGTGGGACGTTAAAACGAGCTGAATACATACATACATACATATGTACATACATACATTCGCAAGACAAGGTAATGGTAATTAATTCTTATTAGTCACGCTTACAATCAGTAAGCTTATTTTTGTTATATACTATATTTTTATAGCTGTTTGTTTAAGAAACGTATTGTGTTAGAAAATGTATTCCAATTTAGATAAGCTAAAATAAATGTGCATTTTAGCCAGAGTACTGATGCTACAGGTCAAGTTAATAGATAGATAGTTAAATAAAGTTTCTATATAACAGTAATTTTTAACTTCAAGCACTGTGTAAAGGAATATATTAAAAAAAATAATATTGTTAAGCATTTAATTTCGCGTATTTTGAAAAGTCACGAGTATTCTGGCTAAGATATAAACAATAATTTATATACATACATTAGGTAGTACGATTGAAAATCTCGAGTCTAATGTATTCATTATTTTTATATTGCCAAATATATATAGCGGTAATTTGGTGTAATAAAGAAGATAATTCTAAATAAATATAAATAATGTTGATTTCGTATTATAGAAATTGTACTTTATTCCAATTATAATTATTTCTTGAAGAATATGTTATTTTATTTAAAACTAGCATAGCCCGCGGCTCCGCCTGCGTTCAGATGACCAAAAACCAAATTCTTAGGTTTTACATATTAATATACTCGTACATTGCAGTTTTTGTATTTTTTCTCAGAAACGAGATATTTTCCCGCGGTAAAAAGTATCCTATATGTTGACCCGGTTAACCAGCTAACACTATGCCAAATTTCATCAAAATCCCTCCAATAGTTTTTCTGTGATGCGGTAACAGATGTGATGATATTTTCATGTGCGAATCATTTCCAACATGATTACCACTTGTCTTACGGCGAAGAAATACATCATGAGGAAACCTGCATGTCTGAGAGAACCCAGCAAGTTTTCGAAAGACATGTGAAGTCCGCCCGCACTTGGCCAGCGTGGTGGACTATGGCCTGATCCCCCTCGTATTGAAGGGCGGCCCGAGAAGCATGTTCCAAATTAATTTAGACTAACATTTCCCGTGGCTCCGGCCGCGTAGTTTGTGTATAATAACGACTAAATGGCCAAAGGAAACTATAACAAAAAAATGTTTCTTATCGGACTAGCGCTTATGGAGATATATTACACTCAAAACAAATAAACTTTTTAATTTTTTTAGTATACATTAGATGAATACATAAGTATATTGAAGCTTAAACGTCTTATCCAGGCGATGGCCTGCGGAATGAAATCAACGTTTCGAAATAAAATCAAAATAGTATCTGTTTAACCGATAGTAATTAGTAACAAAGCAATTATTACAAATCTAATCTTATAATTAGGAAAACGCAGGAAAATCCACATACCTACTCATAATTATCTGAATAATACATATACTCCACTTTGCTTATCTTTTCTCTATGACTCACTGAGCTTGGTAATTCTATTGTTGTTGTTGAAGTACCCTTAAATATCTGTAGAAGGCGACAGATGATTGTATTTCTAAACAAATTATCTATAAATGCTTTATAGAATGATAAAATTATATAGTTTTAAGAAACCTAATAAGACGTATTATAAAATATAGTACCTGGGCGTCCCAGCTTCGCTCGGCGTAGGCGCTTATTCAGTAGGTTCCATTGACGACAATGCAAGTACCACAAACATTTACAAGATGGCGCTATGTGATATTGTCAGCATGAGAGCAGATAGAAAAAGGTTCTAATATCATGAGTTATAAAAATGTTTTTTTTTATTTGATCTTTTCAGAAAAGACACCTATATAAACTTTAAAAGCAAAACCTAATCTAAATAAAAATATATCCAAATTGTTAGCCCAATCTGAGATACACAAAATAAATGTACAAGAATTGCTTATTTAACATAAGGTATTTATTATTATAGTTTTCCTTCAGGTTTCCATCTTTAGACCTTAGTCATATACCTAGAGTAATTGGATTTAAATGGATCCGGGAAAACAAATAAGGTAAATACAAAAACAATCGAAAACAATTATTCTTTTCGATTGTTTTTGTAGAAAACTAGCGACTCACCTCATGTCCTCCGCTTGGGTTCGTCCCTAGATACGTTTAACGATTACTATATATTTCTCAGAAATGAAATTTTTTCCCGCAATAAAAAGTATTCTATATATCGACCAGGGTAACCAGGTATCATCATACCAAAATTCATCAAAATCTGTCCAGTAGTTTTCTCGAGATGCGTTCCCAGGCAGCAGAAAATTTATTTTAAAACCATAGCTTCGATCTCTGTATCGATAATAATGACTATTTCAATAAGATTATCAAAAAAAATATTTAATGTATACAGATTCGACTCAGAATTTTATTATAAGCTTCTAGATTATATACTTAAGGTTTAAATTACGGAATAAAATGTGTGTGGTTAGTATAAGCATTTACTCTGTACGGAATTCCTTTTTTTTTAACGTTGGGAAATGCATTTACGCACGAGGTGTGGGACTCACCGGCAAAGCCAGTACTACCCACTAAAACCCAACAAAACCTTCCCCCGTCTTAATGGGGCGTCGCACGATCGCTTACGCATTCAACTACGACGCCCCAACGGCAGGTCTGCCGAAGCAGACCACAACAACCACGGGGTTGCTCCACAGTCCACTCTGCTATCAGAGAAGTACCAGGAGCAACCCGCATGGTACACTGCCCTCCGAAGAGGGCCACCTCCCACCGCCCACCGAAGTGGACCACCTCCCTGTGCGTTTCTTGGATTCGCGCCCGGCTGTATTGCCGGGCACTACTGAGTCCCCCCACCACGACAAGGTGAACGCACATTGGGGGGGCTGTACGGAATTCCTACCGCAAGCTCCCAATGACCAAGTTAGACAGCTGTATATCTTGTTTACAGTCTTTAACTACCTACAGACTGAACTCGTATCTTAAGTGGTGGATGCGTTGCATTAACACTTGAAATATATCTTGTAATTAATAAGAAATAAGGACAAATTATAATCGTAATAAACGTTTTCTATCATGTTTGCAAAAGATAAATCGTAGCGTCAACTATATATAAGAATGAACTGCGCCTGCTAACTATTATGTTAAAGTGCTACAGCTTTATATTCACAGGTGAGCAAAGAACCATTTTAATTATGTTTTTAATAGTATTTTGTATTTATTTATTTCATGATATGAATACATGTATATCTATTTTTATTGTTACTAGCTATTCGCCCTCGCTTCGCTCGAGTTCGTCCCTAGATTGCTTCCCCAGACACACTTTCAAACTCTTAAGGGATGATTTCCGGGATAAAAAGTGGCCTATGTCCTTCCCAGGCTCTCAAACTATCTTCCTATTACTAAATTTCATCTAAATCAGTTCAGTAGTTCCAAAGATTACCCCTTACAACCTCACAAACTCAGAAGCTCTACCTCTTTATAATATTAGTATAGATTATTTTTAATTTTCTATTATTTTTTAGTAGAAATGAAACTTCTAATAGCACTTGGGTTTTTGGTTGCGGTGTCCGCTTCACCACTGGCTAACGTTCCATCGAACAATCTACCTGTTGCACCCGTAGAAGATTTTTCACTTTCAGAACAACTGCCAGAACAAGATGAAAGAAGAAAGACTAGTGAAATCATTCTGGAAGCAATTATAACTTCGCTTGACAAAATTCAGGGTGAGATTATTGAGGAGAGTAATCAAAAAGTAAGTGAGGGCATTCGAAACATTTTAAACACTATTCAAGACATTTTGAAAACTAGAGGCAAGGAAGAGGTCGATAAAGAATTTAACGAGATTGGGCACGCTGAGGATAAAATCCGTGCGGATTCTGTGTTAGATAATCCTCAACAAGATAAAATTGACGCTAAGGAACTCGAACTTCAACAAGGTTCTGCTCCGGCTCAAGAAAATCGTGATGATGAAAATACAATATTAAATAATGAAAACGAAAGTGATAAGGTACTTGACTCCGAGCAAAATGAAGAGGATCATTCTAAAGTAAAATTTATAGACATGGTCCCAGAAAAGAATGAAAGTGACGAAGCCCAGTCGAGTAAAGTTGCTGAAAACGATGAACAAATCGAAGACGATTCTGAGCTTCTCCGAGCGCAAATTTTAAATGACCGTTTTTTAAGAGAGCCTCAAGAAATCCAATATATACCTCCTTGGATGATTAGGAAACCTGTTCCATATTGACTGGAATGACTTCAGCCTTGAAAAACAGCTTGTTAATTTTGTTTTAATATAAAAATAAAATAAAGAAACAATATGGTGATATTTTTCTTGTTTGAAAATAAGCACTTGATCTCAGATTTAGTATTGAATATTTAAATCCTTGCATAACACTTATTATGATTGTTTTTTTTAAATATTTTATATTTACTCAACTTATGTTGAGTAAATATAAAGTTTTAATCTGTGAGACATTGTTATTGATATCTTTATAGATATATTGATAACAATGTCTCACAGATTAAAACATGTGAAATTCAAATTTTAATTTTTGTTTTTTAACTCTTATGTAAATTATGAACATGATATATTTGCCAATATTAAGCAGTTATAGTACAAAGTATTTTAATATAAAGTGGTGAAGATACTTGTAGTGTTAGAAGCTAGAACTAGAATATGGACGGCCCTGTCATATGGACAAATATGCTATATTAAAAAAAATCTTGTGAACCTTTTCTATTCAATCTACGAATAACATATATCCACTTTTTACAGCCAGTCAAAATTAGATTCACTGATAAATATAAGCAAAAATTTCATTACTTTTATCACATAACATATGTTTATTAATTTGGCCTTTGAAATGAAACTAAAAAACGATTAATTTTGTATCTACATATTTATATTTACTAATTAAAATTAACAATAATATAATAATTTCTTAAACATTTATTTCAACACATACTCTTCAGGGTAATCCATGACCTTAGGGAACTGTTTGATTTCCTCTTCTGGAATATGATCAAGTCTGGTGGGAACTAAGCGTAACTGACGGATCTGACTTGTGACATTTTGTGACACATCTTCAGGTATTTCTTCACCAGGAAAAATGAACAGTCTCTGCATAGTGTGACGTCTTTGCAAATTACCTCTCATTGCTTTGTATACTGCTTTTTTAATAATCTGTAAATAATTAATGTTAATGTTGTAAATATATAAAAGATACATACTTGTCTTGGAACTAAAGTTGCTTTTGCTTATGATTTATCAGGCATAATAAACTATAAGCGAATAGACATACCATAGTCGGATCTTTATTGTGAACTTCCCAAGCTAATGTCCATGATGCACCTCCAGGGTATCCAGTATGATGAAAGTACGCACGTTGTTTCCAGTCATTGCCACGAAGAGCAATATCTCTGCTATTAATACAAACGACTACATCGCCACAATCATTCATTGGATGATAGATGGGCTTGTGCATTCCCAACAAGTATTTCTTAATAACCTCGGCGGATTGATAGGGATCCTGCCATTTGCAGTCAAAGATGTGCCACGTGCGTGCAAACGTTGCCCATTGCTAAAATAGTACAAAAAATAAATAGTGTTCAATTCTTCCGAGACATTTCTATTTTCTAATATTCAAAATTAATGCAATTTTTAAATCAATAGATATGTACCTGTACTCTTTTTGCTGCTGACATATCTTTCTTGTACTTCAAATGATATTAATTTTATAATATTATCTTTAAGTATATATTTCAATTTTCTTTCACAAAAATATATTCTTTATATTGGAGAATGGTAAGGTTATAAATAAAACAACAAAAAAACTGACATTGACAGTTTAACACTTAACATGTTAAAATTACAATTAATCCACAGCTAATAAATAAATATGTTGGAACATTAACACACAGTACCATTTGGTTCAATGGTAAGCTACGAAGTTTGTGTTATGGATACCAGATAGTTGATACACTTCATATATAAAACTTTAAATAAATATATATTACAAATATTAACTACCATGACTGGAGTACAAATATTCGTGCATATCATATAAATAAATGCCGACAGCGGGACTCGGACCCGCGACCGCTGACACAGCAAGTAGTCGCTACAAACTGAGCCTAACGTGTCGTCACTCGTCAAACAGATAATCCTGTATTTTTCTCTTTCTGCATTTGTGTATAGTTTATTATATATTCACTTTTTATATATTTTTTACACATCTATTTGTGTATAGTTTATTATCTATTCACTTTACGCACACAATAATACAGCCAGCCAGCATCATGCGAAATATATGAGCGTAAAATTCTTTATTACAATATTAATATGAACGTCAAACGTGACATTTTTAGCAGCTCAATCCATCGTTTACGTGATGACTTTATAATTGCATTTATGCTTTTAATAAACTTATCCTTCTTTGATATTAATCAAATAAGATGAACTTCATTTAAAGTGAAGCTGAATTTTAGACGAATGCATTCTAAATACGATTTGATATTTTGTCTATAGACTATAAAGTAACTTCTTTTGAGATCTTAGTTTTTGGTAAAAAGAAAAAAAAATAGTTTACGACATACGTTTATTTAGTGCATGGATGACAAATAAATTTAGTGTAGATTACCATGGGCATGTAGTCACATGCTACTTTATTTATTGCCTGGGATAGGTTTACGGGTGAATTATTTAAATGCATAAAATAGTTAATTTTATAATAAAGAAAAGGTAAGAAATAAGCACAAACATTGAAAGATTTAATATAACTTTATTATACAATATAATTGAAAATACAATCCGTGTTTTACACAACAATATTATATTTGTATTTCGTATAAAAATACAAATAATTAGGACTATTCACTGAGATGCAAATCTTTCCTCAATGTATATGCACTCACGTGCATCATATAAGGCTCGTTTTTAAGGAAATTTTCAATAGCACGGTCCCTTACTGCTTCCCAAGCGTAGAGGTCTCTGTAGATGGGACGTACATACTTCATACGACCTTGTTGATTAACAAAAGCAAACACATCATTCAATTTCGCTTCATCCTTACTCCTTATACATAACCTGAGCCATCTATATAAAATTTCGGTATTTTTAGCATTAGTTATTTTATAAGTTGCACCAATCTCTTGAAGTTTCTCCAAAGACAAAGGATCTTGATCTATCAATGATTGAAGTAGATTGATAACTTGATGCGGAGTGAACGATTTAATGTCGTTGTAAGAACATGTGAAGTCAGTTTCATTAATCTTGGCGAGGAGAGAAGTGACTGCTTTGGTCATAGATGTATCATAGCTGTAAAAATATACTTATGTAAATAATCCATACATATAATAAAATTGTAACTAAGCCGAATCTGTACATTAAATATTTTTTTGGAAAATCTTATTGAAATAGACATTATTATCGATACAGAGGCCGAATTCTATAGTTTTTGGATTTTTTGTCCGTCTGTCTGTCTGTGATCGCATTACGGAAAAACCACTGGAGTGATTTTGATTGGTATGATGACAGCAGGTTATCCGGGTCGACATATAGGATACTTTTTACTATGGGGAAATATCTCATCTCTGAGAAATCTATACCAAACTTTAAAACATGAGTTGCTAGTACTTCAATATATTTTTTTTAAGATTGTTACTAGTACTAGAACAAACTATAGAATACAAATATATTACTGTGCTGTTTGTATCACTAGTTAAAAAAAACTTTTTAAATGTTATACATATAGATTAAATATGTTCTTTTTCAATTAAACTACAGAATATTTATCTATTTTAACTAAAGAGTTATTTAAAAATGAAACAAACTTACTCAGGTATAATAGGAGGCATGCCAGTCTTGTAAAGCCAGCTTTCCCAATCCACATTCGCTAGCTTGTCGTTATCTTTAAAATATTCTAGAAGGTAGGTCTTAAATTGATCTGTGTCTAAAGATTTCCTTTGAAAATGATTCAGATAGGAACGCAGGAAGTCATCAAATACAGCTGCAAAATAACAAAGCATTGAAAATTAGCATCATATTCTCATTAAAACTTAATTAATAGATACACAAAATCATAAAATAAATATTTTTTAATCTAACTAACGACATACCCTTGCATCGTTCGGGTGCCTTCCTACATTTAATGTACATTTTAATTTTTTTGATCAGAATCCTAAATCTTTTTCTAAAATATAAGTAGCCTTAGTTACTCCTTATAACATCCATTATCTGTCAGCTAAAGTCCAATCAAAATCAGTGCAGCCGTTTCAGAGATTAGCCGAAACAAACAGACAAAATTTTAAAAATTGTGTTTTTATTGTAAGTACCATAAAACTGTGTATATAATTTCATATGCATTTAGTAAAAAGCCGTTATTATGACATTACAAACAGACTCTTGCAATTTCATTTATCTGTATATATATAATGTATTCAATTTCTCTCTAATCATGAAATAAACAATATTTAATCTAATTTAATATCATTCGTTGTGTTTTTACCCGGTCCTCCAAGCAGATGTTCTAAATATCTTAAAAATAGCGATCCTTTTTCGTATGGAACAGTTGAGAAGGCATCGTCAGGATGTACACCGTTGAGGTCCACAACCAAACGTGTTAACGGGTTATTGGGACCTAAGTCATCATTTATCTGAAAATTAATATTAATGTATAGATTTATCCTCACCTGGCCCTCCAGCTAGGTCTTCAAGGTAACGTAAAAATAACGACCCTTTCTCATATGGAACCCTTGAAAATGAGTCATCGGGGTGAGTGCTATTTAGGTCTGGCACCAAACATGTCAAGGGGTTGTCTGCACCAAGATTACTGTTTATCTACAAATTATTTATTTTTGTCATTTTGTTTGTATGCTATTATAAACACTCAATTATCATTGAAACTATTTGAAACAAGTGGTCATCAGCCTTATGTAGCTTTTATAGGTGACAATTTTTTGTAATAAAACATCTATCTTACTCTCTCGTCCGTGAACTATATCTATACATATCATAAAATTCTGAGTCGAATCTGTACAATAAATATTTTTTGGAAAATCATATTGAAATAGTTATTAATATAGATACAGAGGCCGAGTGTTCTTAAAATTTTTGTCTGTCTGTCTTTATGTGACCGCATCACGAGAAAACCACAGGAGAGATTTTGGTGGAATTTGGTATTATGATAGTTAGTTATCCGGGTCAACATATAGGGAATTTTTAATGCATGAGAATATCTCATCTATAAGAAATCTATACTAAACTATGCATAAAACTAAACCGATCTATTGTCCGTAGTTGTTGAGAAAAATAAGGACAAACCAACATGCACAATTTCGCAATAATACAATTAGTAAGTACTAAAGTCACTACCAAAAAAAAAATAAACAAAATGTTCTTTATTAAATATTTCAATTTTACTCATGAATCCACTTACAGTTTCACTTAGCTCTTGCAGTCCGAGCAAGCTGTGGAAGTCCCTGCTTTTCTTTGCTTCAGTCGAGTCATTTATTAATGAAGCACCAACTTTCCTCTCAAGGAAGACTGTGAAGCCTTCATTAAGCCAGAAATGCTCGAAGTTCCTATTTGTTACAAGATTACCGGTCCAACTGTGCATTATCTCATGAACTATCACATCCGCTTGACTCCTGTCTCCCGCCTAGAAAAATAGATATTTATTAAATTTTATATGTAACTTTGGTTACAATTCTAATAAAATACTTCAGGCCGAATTCAATATATAAGTCATTCCATTTGGATTTAAAGAAAAAGTCACCTTTGAGGTAGAATCTTGTAAAATTATTTTGAAGTTGGTAATCTTTTTAGTTAAAACGAAATTACTGTAACAAAATGTTTATAAAACAAATCGATAATTATGATGCCATTTACTTAAATTTAAGCAAAGTAACTCATTACTAAATCATTCGAAACACCAGGAACCAAAAATTAATATAAATCTACAAAAAAATCCGAAAAAGTTAGTTTTATTTAAAATGTCAAATAATCGCGTAAATCGAACAAACAAAGAAAATGTCAAAAAGTGCGTGTGAGTGCAATTCACACATGGTAAAAGTAAAACTTAATATTTGTCAGACAATAAAAACGGTTACCAATGGCAACATGGCAATGTATTCTATTTCATTCTCTCACCGGCTTAATCCTGTATATTTATGTGTTTGTCCCTTTTTAGTGTCGCATTTCCGTTTCATCGAGTTTCAAATCACAACGATTTTAAAGAAGTTTTACTTCAATAAAAAGAGTAAAAACTATTAACATTTGTTTTAAAAACATAATGATGATGATTCTCCTAGCCGATTTCGGCTACGGCGGCCAATCTCATCAAGATTAGACAACTGCGCAGGAGATATTATAGTGCACAAGTGTACGCGCAGACACAACGTGCACTCTCTATTCCTGTCACTCTCATACTCCGGTGGGACGACCACTCGACACGACCAGTGAGAGTTAAGGTGCAGGACCGACGGCTTTACGTGCTCTCCGAGGCACGGGGGTGAAACACCGCCAACTTCCCAACTCCGGGCTGTTACTGAGACTTACTATACAGAAAGTGTCAATAACTAAACTTGGCCCGACCCGGGACTCGAACCCAGGACCTCCGGATGTGCAGCCGTACATGCTAGCCACTACACCACCGAGGCAGTCAAAGTTTTAAAAACAATTTACATATATACAAAATTCTTACCAATAATGTGGGTGTGACAAACGTCAGACATGGGTTCTCCATGCCCCCATAGGGGAACGAAGGGGGGAGGACCAGTAAGTCGTACTGAGTCCACTGGTACGGGCCACACAATTTCTCTGCAGCTTGCAAATACTTTTCAGTATCTGCAAATTCCCAAGCACTTTTCTCTATTTCTTCCTTTTCTGACCATACATGAGACCTGTAATCCCATTAATATTATAAATGCGAAAGTTTAGATGGATGTTATTCAATCAGGCCAGAACGATTGAACGGATCTGGATAGTTTGAAATAGGTTACATTTTATGCCGGAAAATGTACGATTCCCGTGGGATATACAAACTGACGGTCAGTCAGTCAGTAAAACGTACCTAGAGACGAACCCGAGTGAAGCGATTGTAAGTAGCTAATTAAATACAGCTTACCTAGGTCCTAAAGATCTAGAATCCAGCACTGCTACAGCGATTGCCAATAAATAAGACGGTATAGGCACCGGTTGACTGAAACTAGTTTTATTTCCCTTGCTCTCCCCGCGTATAGCACTCATTAGTACTGTGAACTCCTCGGGAGCAGATATTTCCGCTTCATATGTGAACTTTACTGCTGGTGTGTCTTGACAAGGCAAGATAGAGCGGGCATGCACTGGCTGCGAAAAGGTACATAAGCTTATAGCTACATAAAAGAATACCCAAAAAAAACTAAAAGATAACAAATAGTAGAAATTTGTTTTGAATTTTTGGTCTAACATTAAAGCAAACTGAACTAAAAATAGCACAATTGGCCAAATGCCTGATGGTCTTATGGAATCGGTAAATGCCCGAACTGGCTTCATCATCAGATCACATCAATGATATTAAAATAATCGTGTTGTTGTTCAGGTTCCAGTATTCACAAACTTTTAATGTTAAAAGTAGTTAAAATATGTAAATGATAAAATATGTGTCTAGTGAAGTGATAATAAAAATGAAATGATGATAAAATTTACATAATACTTTCTTAGATTTACGCGAATATTTGACATTTTAAATAAAACTATCTTTTCGGATTATTTCGTCTCTCCTATGACCATGATTGCTGTAAAGCCTTCGAAACATCGGAAACCAAAACTCTAAAAAAATCCGCGAAATATTCCGAAAAGATAGTTTTATTTAAAATTTAAATACTCATAATTTACCTGACACTGGCTGAACATATATGGATGTTTCTTGCCAGAAGTTTGATTTGGTTCCAACCATTGCAATGCAGTCGCGGACGGCGACGACTTGTAGTTTATCTTAATTTCCAACCTGTAAAGAACAACCAAAACGTCAAGTTTATTAGTTTTTAAACCCCAGTTCTAGTGATACAATTTTTTAAGTATTGCTAAGAGACATGGTACTTTTTTCCATATCAAGTGGCGCTGGGATCGAACGAACTAAGATGTATCACTACTTAAAGACAAGGTTTTCTAAATTTAGTTAATGTTATTTGTATAATTGAGTTACATAAAGAATATAGGTGTTTTATAAATCTGATATGAATATGAATGTTTTGCTATTCTCAAGGAAGTACTACGAAGAAACTATCACATTACAATGTTTTATAGTTGAGAACAAAAAATGCAGTAATAAGCATAACTCTTGCCACCGGATATCTACAATCAACAAACTAACAAAAATATATACAGGGTATATATTTTTATATTGGACAAATGAATGGGACATGGAAGAAAAGTATTTTAAACATTGAAGTTATCAAGTTTTACTCAAAAAAAAACATTCATTTATTTCAAAAAATAATAACAAATGCATTTAATATTTTTAAGAAAGAGCTAACCTGAAAAACCTTTCTTTTACCTTTCCTTTGAGTGAAACGTGACATTTTCAGTATTTAAGAGAATTTCCTGCCATATCACATGTTAGTAACGTTATAGCTACAGTCGAAATGTATAAATTGTAAGATTTCATGGGATTCTTTAATTTTATGATACAATGTTGTTCGAGAGATTTTATCCTTACCATAGATTCTGTTGGTTATTTTAAAACTAGTGAAAATATATTTACTGTATTTTTAGTTAGTTAGATTACCGGTTCAGGTAATATTTTGTTTTTAAATTAAAAGCAGTTATTATTTTAAATAAAACTATGTTTTCTATGAGGAAAATTTGATAACTTCAATATTTAAGGTACACTTACATGTCCCATCCATTTGTATAGCAATTGATTTGTTATGCTGAATGAAGAACACATTTTAAAACTTCTGAATCTAATAATTTTTAAATCATAATTTTCAATTAATTATATAACTTGTTTTTCATTTATTACCTGTTATTCATATTATGCATAACGAAAATCAATTTAATGTACATACATACAATGTATAGATTTAAGTATATAGTATGTAAGGCTCACATATTGCCATATATGAAATGTACAGGGGGCTCATTACTGAGCACTGTTCTAACACAAACACAACTTGAACTATTGTGTTCCAATAGAATATTATCACAGGATTCTGTTAAATCATCTGTCATAAAGTTTGGTTTATTAGGTTTATATGTAAAACCTGTAAAAGTCATGGAAAATTTCTCAATTGGTTCCATGGCATTCTTGTGTTCATCTTTGCTGAAGAAATTTTCATCAACATACTTAGATCTTTAAGTAAAAGAAAGAATAGTAATAATATTAAGTTACCAATACTAAAAGTTCAAACTTCATTGATGACAAGCTTTGACGTACCAATCCGAAATTATATACATATAAAATCTAATTAAGAGTAAGTTATTACACAATCCTTCAGGATAATCTCACTTTTGTTCAGGTGCCGCAGATTGTGGTAATACTATTGTCAGTTTTGAGCCATAGTTTGGAACGACTTCATCCAATGTGTACTTCAATGGTGTGCCGTCCCTCAATTCAATTGATTCTATTGTAAGATCACTTGTATCTAATATCTAAAAATTATTAAATGAAAGTCGTCATGTAATATTACATCCAATAAACTCAATGAAACATCATCTCGAGATATTTTTGTCATGTTTTAACTATAGATAACCTCTGTAATCTTGACTTTATCACTAAAATGTACTTGTAATAATTCTAGTATGCAGTTGCACAAGAATCAGAAAATAAATGATAAGACTTGAAATTATTGATATATTTTAACCTTCCCATTCCATTAATATTATAAATGCAAAAGTTTGTGTAGATGGATGTTTGTTACTCAATCATGCCAGAACGGCTGAATGGATCTGGGTGAAATTTGGCAAAGAGATAGATTATAGTCTGGAATAGCACATAGGTCTCTTTTTATCCGGGAAAATGTATGGTGCCTTGAGATAGATTTGTTCTTGTTTTTTACTAGGGATGAACCCGAGAGAAGCAAAGGTGAATCGCAACTCTCTAGTAGATGAGTCTAGGAAGTAGGCACAGAAATAGTTAAAAATGTAGCAAACATTTATCATAATCTCTTTAATTAATCATTGTCTAACTGTCTCTTAACATCACATTTAAAGATGTAGGTGCATATGTTGACACAATAAAATTTTACTGTAACAATCCTAAGATCCTTAACACAAAAATACCTGATGACATTGCATACCATATATTTAAATTATATTACAAATCATTATACTAAAATAATGGAAATATGGCTGCGATTTAGAATTGGGGACTTGGCCCCTAGCGGAGTGGGTGGTATTTCTAGATAAGGGACGTGATAGGAAGTCGAAATGTTAAATAAAAATTGTCCGCGAACGTATGAGTAAAAATTTATTGAGACTTAAAGTTACAACATTTCCATACATTATTTTGACATTACTACCATTTAGACACTTGAGTCAAAACGTCACTTTCAATTGTCAAAATGATCTCCAGATGATTGTCTTTATTTGTACTTTGCGTGAAATTCGAATTTTCTAGTTTTCTAGTCATTTATGGCACTCGCCGGCCGCTACCGCGGCACGCTCGCTTCGCTCGCTCGGCTCGTGCGTTGTGGCAACTGTTCTAACCTAACCTAACCAAGATATGAGGAATAATAAATAAATAATCTTAAATGTTCTAACCTAACCTAACCCAGATATGACGAATAATAAATAAATAATTAAAAATATTCACAGATAAAAAAATGATTTTTTTTACTAAATGTGCAATTGTAAAACAATATATTTTACATAAATCAAATAAAAAGTCATAAATGTATTTATAAAGTGAAAATAATATTTTTCTTTTTATTTATTTATTTATTAATAGTAATATTTTACCAACAGAAAAAGCAAAAATAATCAAATATAATCTGTTGTCATTTAAGCGGTAATATAAAACAAAGTGTCAGTTTTGCTTTTGTCAAAATGTAAGATCATTTTGTTTGTGTTGTGAAATTATTAAAATATTAAATACAATAAAGCATTAATTGTTGTGAAAATATGTATTGTACATAAAAAAGGATGCGTACTATTCGTTAAAGGTATGTTTATCTGTTGTAATCACTTATTTAGGTAAAGAAATGTATGGAAATGTGTTAGATATGTTATAATTTTAAGTCTCAATAACTTTTTACTCGTACGTTTCCTCCAAATATTTTTAATATATTTTGACTCTCTGTCACCTCCCCTATCTAAAAATACCACCCACTCCGAATAGTGGTAAAGAAATATATGAAAATGTATGGAAATGTTGTAACTTTAAGTCTCAATAACTTTTTATTCATACGTTCGCGGACAATTTTTATTTAACATTTCGACTCCCTATCACGTCCCTTATCCAGAAATACCACCCACTCCGCTAGGGGCCAAGTCCCCAATTCTGAATTTGTGCCGGAAATATATATATATATATATTGTAGTAATGTATTTTTTACATACCTGTTGTATTTTGAGACCTACATAAATAGGTAGTTACAGGGATTAATTAAATTAACTTTTCACTTACCACATCTTCTATGTAGTCTATAACTTGAATATTAAGAACTGCTGTACCATATAATATTTTATTTTCAAAATCCACTTTGTATGATAGATCTATATGTTTTATAACAGCCAATTCTAAAAAAAAAAGAATTGAGCCAAATATTTAAAATAAAAGTAAAAGTTAAATTTAACAATAATTAGAAAAAAGAATGTGGTTAAGAATATAAAATTTTTAACAAATATATTAAAAAAATTTTTAGAAAAAATTTTTTAGATTTTAATATATTGCTATAATATTTATTAATAAAAAATATTACCTGGCCTTGAAAAAGAAGAGGGATCCAAAGGACTCAGTGCCCCCATAGTTTTGATATAACTAGAACACAAAATAAAAAATGTTAACCAGTAGAATAGCCATTTGAAAAAAAAATCCATATTGAAAGAAAATGAAAGTCAAACTATTCAAAAGTTCTGAATATGCCTTTCTAATACACTGCAACACTGTCTAGATTACATTTGAACATTTTATCACATAGTTTCTCTTTTTAAAGAAATAATCTGGTATCATGCAAATGAAAGATTTATAACTATACAATACAGTCTATTTTGATAAGAGGAAAGTTAAATTGAGTGACTATAACTTATCACTATTGTCAACTAGAATCTAACATAACAAGTTCATAAATAAGGTCAATTGCAATGTATATATTTTAATAGAAGAAACAAAAATAAAAGCTCTTAAAATTAACTCTTATATATTATTACAGGGAAAAAAGGTAATTTTGGCAGACAATATTTTGGTTATTATTATATATTTTTTTTTATAGAATATCATAAAAAGCATTTGACTTGAAATGAAAGAAGAATCATTAAATCTGGTATAAATATTCAATTTAAAGTACTATTAATAACATTAATACTTTGTATGTAGCATGTAAAAGCAAAACTTATATTAAAATAACATTCAATACCTTTTTAAAGTATTCAAATTTTTATTTAATATAAATGGTTTATTCTGGAATCTATGCTTATATTCAGTATTGTGGTAAAATTTAGTTTTGAGAGGTAAAATTGAGTAATATCTATGTGTTCTATTTAATAATAAATCACGTAAAGGAACGCGAAAATGTCGCGTAACCACTTTGCCGATGACAGCCATTTTCAATTCAGGTTACAGATACTATAATACTTGTACAGATTAAGAAATTTGAAATTACCAAAGGAATAGATTTCTTGAAAGGAGGGCGCTATACGTATAACTATTTACATTCAGTTTAGTGTGTTCAAATCTTACCTGTACAATGTAATATGTATTGTAATTTGTACCTGGAAGTTAGACCAGCTGAAGAAAGAATTGAGATGGAAATGTGCATCCTGTGGAGATCCTCACTGACTGATGGCAGATGGATCAACACACAGCCTAAACCACTGGTCGTAGAAACGTTAAATTTATAGGACATATTTCTTCTATGATGTAAGCATCCAATAAGAAAGATTTTTTTTAAATGGATTAAAGATTATATGAAACTTTGTCATTCTTAATGTGAAATACATAGAAAGCGGTGTTTGATTTAAGATAAAAAATAAGAAATATATTTATTTCTTTTTATCTTAATTCATCCCTGAAAGGGGTAAAAGGGGGTAACAAAGTTCATATGGGCAAAGAACTATTTATGATCAGAATTACTTGAAACTTAGTTTTTCAATACAGTTAAAATAAATCCGATTTTAGCATTTTTTGAAATTCGATCTTATAAGAAGGTAAAATGGGGGATGAACATTTGTATAAAACTCTGTAATTAATATGTGAAAAAGTATAAAAAAAATAAAAAAAGATATTCACCTGTAGAGTTTTAAAATCATTTTTGTAAAAATAAAGATTATGATTTTGACAGTTTTGGTCGTCTATAATATTACTTTAGCCAACAATTTCTTCAATTTTCGTCATTTGGGAACAAACTATATCCATTTTCTTTACATCTTGCCACTGGATAATCTGTCATTTTAATTTAAATTTTAAATAGATTGGAAAAAAATCCATCCACGTTATAGAGCTTTACAATATACTGAAGGTTGTAGTGATCGCGACATCTGGCGGGGGAAAAAAAATTCTTAATTTTAAAATGCGCAAATTATCCTCAATTTTTTAATTAAATATTTCTTAATTTTAAGTAGGCTTTACGCTCTTAATAATGTTACTAGCGACTCCCCCTCGCTTCACTTCATTTGTCCCTAGCTTGATTCCCCATACAAACTTTCATCCCCATTTTCACCCCCTTAAGGGATGATTTCCGGGATAAAAAGTATCCTATGTCTTTACCAGGGTCTCAAACTGTCTTCTTACCAAATTTCATCTAAATCGGTTAAGTAGATCCAGAGATTACCCCCTACAACGTCACAAACTCACAAACTTTACCTCTTTATAATATTAATATATTATATTGAAGTATAATATAATAGGTATGTAAATAGGTCATTTTTTCCTATTGAAAAATGAAAATAATTATGTCAAGTGTCAAAGTCATGTTTAATGAATGACATTGCTGTTGTTTGTTGTAAATGTGTTTAAATTTTATAACTTAATTTCTTATAATAAAATATGAAGTTTTGTAAATTTTTAATATAAATCTGTTAAATGTTTGGTAATATACTGTTAAGAAAGTATTAGTGTTCTAAATGTGTATGTTGGAAACCTAAACATGTTGTCACGGTTTCATCCTTACCATGGCTCAAATATTATTTTATTTGAGGACAATACAGTAGCATACCGAAAAACCAGTTTTGCTCACGGTTTGACATTTAGTGAAAAGCCTTTATTACCAGGGGAAATATTTTTAGTAGAGATAGAAAAAACGGAACGTGGTTGGAGTGGTCATATGCGACTTGGTCTTACTTTGCTCGATCCACAAACTGCTGCTTTAGGTGATAAAGGTCTGCCACAGTATGCATTACCTGATCTCGCTAACACTGGTATGTCGTGGATATTTCCTATAACAAAGTGTCAAAATAATGTTTTAAACACATATGAACTTGTAAATCAAGGGCCAAGTCGTCGCGACAGCGAACCGCGAGTGTCAGTTTTAGGGAATGGGCACAATGTAAGGACTCCTAGAGGTATTGTTTCTAAAATGAATCTTAAGCCTCAGAAAGGTACCGCACAAGGTATTCTACCTATGGATGCCGGTAGTCGTATAGGAGTAATGTTTGTTCCTTGCCCTAAGAGCAGTAAAGATGAACCAGATTTAGCTGAAATGCATTTTATAATAAATGGAGAGGAACAAGGACCTTGTACTAAGGCTATTCCTTATACCACTGGTTTCCTACATGCAGTGGTTGACGTATATGGAACAACCAAACAAGTCAAAATTATTCAGCTGTATGAAGGTAAGAAAATACTGTGTAAAATTTTTAAAATATGCAAATGGTCTATGTAACTATAATATATATTTAATGTTTTTTTTTTAGTGAAATCTCTACAAAATATATGTCGAGATGCAATACTCCAGTTTGTAAAGAATAATTCTGTGAAATCTTTACCCCTGCCTCAGTGTTTAAAAGACTTTTTAATGTCATAAGAATATTAAAGTAATACACATTGTGATGACAATAAGGCTGTTGATAAAAAAAAATATGATTGGTGTTGTTATGGTCTTAACAATGTTATATATAAATTTTAAATTTATCTATTTTATACATCTATTAATTGGAAACAGGTTATTAGATCAAAGAATTGTCTTGGTTATGAAATCTGTAACAAAGCCCGAATAGTAAATAAATCCTTTTTATTAAAATATAAGTAACTAATATTACTGTGACATCAAAACTATGAAGTGCTTCTCATTTAGTAATTATAATGCAATAAACTATTATTACAATTTTTATACTTTTTGTGTTATTATTTAAAGGCTTGGTGAATATATTTTTTCACAAACTAATTTTTAATCCAATATACATTAAGTATGTATATTTTACATTAAGTAATGAATAGTTTTATTTTTTAATTCTTAAAGCTTATTATGGTTATATGACAGCTTTTATGTAATATGCTTTCAGATTGGATCAAACTCATTGTTATAAAATAATACTTGCAATAAAATTTATTAGCATTTAAAGTAGGAAAAATAATGTAATATATGAATCATATGTTAATATTTTATAGCTATTTTCCATTATATTAATGATGTATTTATTATTGACTAGCATTGCCCGCGTTCAGATGACCGAAAACCAAATTCTTAGGTTTTACATATTAGTATACTTTTACAAAGCAGTTTTTGTATTTTTTCTTAGAAATGAGATATTTTCCCGTGGTAAAAAGTATCCTATATGTTAACCCGAATAACCAGCTATCATCATACCAAATTTCATCAAAATCTGTCCAGTGGTTTTCTCGTGATGCGGTAACAGACAGACAGACAAAATTCTAAAAACTATAGTATATAATAAAAAAAATATATAGTATCGGACTCTGTATCGATAATAATGTCTATTTCAATTAGATTTTCTAAAAAATATTTAATGTACAGATTCGACTTAGTTACAATTTTATTATATGTATAGATAAATAAAAACTTGATCTGAGTTACTTAGGATTTTCAATTCTATATTGTGAGTACTTCACTATTTTGTTGATATAGAGGCATTATCCAATATCATTCATTGTTTTGATTTATTTAACTTGTCAGGGACAAATTTGTAAATGCAGTAATTTTTTTATGTTCACGCATTTTTCTTTGTTACTTAATTGCCCAACACACATTTACTATTTTAATAACCCAAAAAAAACTCATTTAATTTGTAATATATTAATGTAATACATAATATAATAAATAATTTAATTAAATTAACTTATAATCAATAAAGCTTATTCTTTATATTAATGTATATGAAATTTAATTTGGCAGCTAAAGAAATTCCAATTCAAATAGTGAAAGTACATTTCAGCAAAGCAGATTTCTCAAATATTTTTGTTATAAATAGTACTTGATATAGTTAGAAAGTTATATCTTAGTAATAACATTTGTTATTGAGTATCTTTGTGACTTTTAAGCCCCAAACTATTTAATTAAAAATAAAGGCAGTGTTTTCGGTTTTTAGTGACATTTGCATAAATTTTTGTTATGTTGGCCTGACTGGCTAAAAAATTTAAACATATTATCATCAATCCCGAGCTAAAAATTCTTATAAACTTTCTATCCCTATCCCACAGAACACTTTTCTGCAATATTCCTTTTTGGGTTAAAAAGTGGTTTTTGAAAAACTACTTTTGAACAAATTATAATATCTATCTACATCTCAAAGACCTGTTAATTTTTATGTTTTAAGTGGGAATATTGTGAAATTCTATTGAATGTGGTTGGGAAAATGTGTGTGTGCGTGTGTGTATCAGGAAAAAAGCTGAATTTTAAACCAGTAAGAGTTAAAATTCTGAATACATGTTTCAAAGCATTTCACAATATAATATAATATATATTAGCCCCTAAACATATAAGTAAGATTAAACCTTTAAAAGTATCACAGACTGACAGACTGTTTAGGTGGTGTTACAACTTACACCTCAACTCTTATGGAATTTAAAATAAACGAGTTATGTATGGTAATTGCTATGGTATATTTGGGCTAGTTTTACAGCTCGACGACTTTGCGCCCATTTTTAAAACAAGTTGCGTTACAAATGGTAGAATTTAAGATTTCGAAAAAACTTCAAATTTAATAAATGCTTGATTACAATTTACTTTTATAATATTTTTAATTTAGTTTCATCGTATTCAGCCTCCCTTCAATACGAGGGGATCAGGCCATAGTACACCGCGCTGGCCAAGTGCGGGTTGGCGGACTTCACGTCTTCCGAAAACTTGGTTCTTTAAGACATGCAGGTTTCCTCACGATGTTTTCCTTCACCGTAAGGCAAGTGGTAATCATGTTAGAAATGATTCGCACATGAAAATTTCAGAGGTGCGAAACCCGGGATTTGAACCCGCTTCACACGGTTTCCCAAGCGAGCGCGTTACCACTGGGCTACCACTGCGTTGTTTAATTTAGTTTCATAGTTTGATTTAAACTATTCATATGCAGATGGTATTAATTAGTTTAAAAATATTTTTGAAATTACATTTACATGAGGTACCTACTGTTAATTTTATTAATTGCCACTCAAACTCTGAATTTGTGTTCCTAAATAACAAAGAGAATGTAAACCCTACGCTAAATAAATAATCCTACCTAAATATATTAATTTTGTATTATACAAGTTACGAGTAAGTGTGTATAGTCTGGAAAAATAAATGTTATAGTACTAAAACGATATTAACTTTGAAAGTGATCCAAGAGATCCCAATGGGAAATAACAACTTAATACCAAAACTATGGTGTAGATCGAGTCTCAAAATTAAATTTTTTTACTGATTGGTCTTCTTACCAATGAAGTACGAACTTATACAAGTGCTAATCAGTGCCGGATTCAACCTTAGCGCCGCCCCTGGGCACTAAGAAATTATTCCCACCCCATTATCGAAATTTTGCTTAGAATGGATAAAGTTTTGATAAAGTTAATTTTTTTTAATTATCAATTTTTGAAAAATGCAAAAAAAAAAATTGAAAATGTTTTCAGTTTTTAGAAAAATGTGCTAGTTTTTTTTTAAGCTATTGCATAGCTTCTATCGCGGGCCTTGAGCGTGGGGACCGAATCCAGAAATTCCGTAACGAAAAAAACCTGACACCCCCCACTCCGACCGGCACAGCGGTGATACTTTTTAGTTTTTCCATCTATCGATAAATACCAGAACTTTTAATGACTTTTTGAAATATCACGCTTGTCTCTTTAGTTCAGCAACCCGCCTTTAGGTGGCATTGGTTGTATTGGAAAACTACCGTAATCAGCTGTTTGTGAGAAAGTATATAGGTGTATAGGTGTTTATCATCTATGTACAACAGTGAATATCTGTACTCGTATAATTTGTGTACAGAGTGTTTTAAATATGAATAAACAAAGTGCATTTGTTAATGAAGAAAGTCAAGGAAAAAAAGATACTGCATTAATAAAATAAATAAATAATTATAATTGCATAAGTTGATAAAAAATGCTATGCAATAGCTTTACCGCGGCAGTCTCCGAGTGCCACATTTATTTTAATTATTATATTTATTTATTTTTAAATAAAAAGAAACTATCGATATCGCGAAGATTTTTTTATTCTCCGAATTTTGCCGCCCCTGAGAATTTGCCGCCCTGGGCACTAGCCCCGAGTGCCCCTAGTGTAAATCCAGCGCTGGTGCTAATTTAAACTCGGTTATTTATAGTAATAAAGTACTAAGTAAAGCACTTGGTTTTGGTTGGAGCATGAGATGTTTGTTTTTTAACGTCCCACTGCTGGGCACGGGCCTACCTTCAACACGAGGGGGATCAGGCTATAGTCTACCACGCTGGCCAAGTGCGGGTTGGCGGACTTCACATGTCTTTCGAAAACTTGCTAGGTTCTCTCAGACATGCAGGTTTTCTCACGATGTTTTCCTACACCGTAAGGCAAGTGGTAATTATGTTAGAAATGATTCGCAAATGAAAATATCAGAGGTGTGAGACCCGGGATTTGAACCCGCTTCACTCGTTTTCCTAAGCGAGCGCGTAACCACTGAGCTAGAGATACTATGCCAAATTAACTTACTGAAGAAGCAATTGGAAATAAAAATGATGACAATTTTTTTTTAAATTATGTTTTTTTGTAATAGGTTATTTTAATAAAAGTATTTTTGCTTATTATATATGTTTTTATTTTTATATAATATTATTAACTAGCATTGCCCGCGGCTCCGCCCACGTTCAGATGACCAAAAGCAAATTTTTAGGTTTTACATATTAGTATGCTCGTAAATTGCAGTTTTTATATTTTTTCTCCGAAATGAGACATTTTCCCGCGGTAGAAAGTATCCTATATGTTGACCCGAATAACCAGCTATCACCACACTAAATTTCATCAAAATCCCTCCAGTGGTTTTTCTGTGATACGGTAACAGACAGACAGACAAAAATTCTAACAACTATAGATTTGGCCTCTGTATCGATAATAATATTTATTTCAATAAGATTTTCCAAAAAATATTTAATGTACAGATTCGGCTTAGGTACAATTTTATTATATGTATAGATTATACCTACCCATCTTTATTTAGTCTTTGCATAAGTAAAAAAAGTATAGTCAAAAATAATTATATAATAAAAATTGGGGATGAAAGTTTCTATGAAACTATCTTTTTAGAGATTTTTTTGCAGTTTTAGCGCGAGCGAAGCCGCGGGTTCTGCTCGTTACATATAAAGTAGAAAATAAAGAGGATTTCTACTAACGCTTCTAGTATGTGATAATGTGCATTTAATAAATAATATCTGTTAAAAATAATAAACAAAAGAGAATTGGAAAGAAAGATGATAGTTTATTTTACCTAAGTACTTACATAATTATGTAGGTTAGGTATACTGAGTACCTACTGCTTAAGTATTTAGCTACAACCTCTTCGCAGCCAAGTGCAGGTCATAATTTGTTACATTTATACGTTCATGGCGTATATTTGTTATTTATAT